TTAAGGTGTGTCAGTTGTTTTAATTTGAGAAAAAAATATTTTTCACAAAATGACACACATTTATATTCAGTAAAAAGCTATTATAAAAGAATACATTTGTGATTTTATAATATCACATTTAAATGAACTAATATTAAAAGAAATGTATATTAACTAGGGTTTAGACCCTGCTCAATTAGGAGCATACATCCATAAAAAACTGTTTTTAAAATAGATAAATAAACAAAAGAAATCAATTTTTTTTCTTTTTGCATTTGCAAGTGTACTATTTTGGCAATAGGCTTAATTCCAATTCTTAGTATATTTCCCAGTGTTGTCCTCGAAGCACGCTCACATGAAAAACACCATTGGTGGATATAGCCTTGAATATAGTGGTGGTGTCATCAGGCCTATAACTAATTTAGAAAAACATGCATAGTCTTCGTGCTTTGTTCCTCTCCTCCTTTATGATTTTGGTGTTTAACACTGCATCTCAGAAAGAAATCTTTGTCACTCTCACAAACTATGTCGGGAGTGACTTGAAGATTGCTTGCCAGTCTTCTACACACAAGTCTTTGATGTCAAATGGATTCATGGAAGATGGTAGCACTTCTAGCTTCCAATTTGAGGGTAACAACTCAACCATCTATCATTGTGAAGTATGCTCTAAATATGGGCATCAACAATTTGACATATTTGGGGGACATGCCCCAGGGAATTGGAAGAATGCCACAATTGATCAAATCAATTGGTTTGTATATGGATATGGAATCTTTGTTGCCAATAGTTGTATAGATCAAAGAAAATGTTCCATGAGCAACCTAAACAAATGGTATGATTGGAAGGCTTGGTAAATTGGTTGAAAATATTTTCATCCAAATTATAAACATTGAATTTAATAAGGTTTGGCTTAACTTGAAATTAAACAAAACCAGAAGCGACGTGTGGGAAAATATTTCTAGGGTTCTTCGTGGAAGGCGAATGGCGACCTCTGGCGTGGTCCTCCGGCCTCTCGATTGCACGCCATCGCCGTCCTCCCCACGCGGCTATGGCTGCAATTCCAGCGGCGTCGCTGGCGATGGCAGTGGCGAGGAGGAGGAAGAGAGCATCCAGATCTTCGTCGCCATGGCGGGCAAGGCGCTCATTCCCCTCCGGATCCTCACCAGCGACACCATCGCCTCGGTCAAGATGCGCATTCAATCGCTCAAGCGAGGTATGTATGTCAAGCAGCAAAAGCTCGTGCACGACGGCCGGGAGCTCGCCAGGGACACGAGCCGCGTGAAGGATTATGGGATCCGGCCTAGGGATGTGATCCATCTCGTCCTGCGCGTCTCGGATCTTCTCCAAGTGGTGGTAAAATCCGGAGGAGGGAGAGAGTACATGCTGAAAGTGGATCGAAGCAGCAGCAGGAAGCCAGCAGCACGATCCCAGAGCCTCTCTACTTCTCGCCACGAAGATCAAGGATTGATCTTGAGAGGCGAGCGCCTGGACGACAAGAGATTGATCGAGGACTTTCTCCTGGAAGACGATGCCGAGGTCCACATCGTGGCGAGAAAAGCTGCCAAAGTACGTACTTGGCACGTAGGTGGCGGGGGAACCGAAGTTTTCATCGAGGATGAGAAGCGATCCAAGCGAAGAGGAGCTACTGCTCTGATCGAGTCTGGGGTGGTGAGCTGCCAGCCAGAGATCCAAGTTCCAGAATCGCTTCTGGACATGCTCGGGGAGATCAACGCTGGGCTGGATCAAGGATTTTCTCCCGTCTTGTCCAGTGCTGGCACCGGTGGAGCGTACTGCATGCTGGATCGATCGGGAAGCAAGGCTCTGGCGATTTTCAAGCCCATGGACGAGGAGCCCATGGCCGAGAACAATCCGAGAGGTTTGCCACTGTCCATAAGTGGCGAGGGACTGAAGAGAGGGACCATTGCCGGGCAGGGAGCGCTCCGAGAAGTTGCTGCTTACGTCTTGGATCATCCGAGGAGTGGACCGAGAGCTCTGGCCGGGAAGAACGAGAAAGGCTTCGCGGGAGTTCCTCCCACTGTCATGGTCCGCTGCTGCCACGCCGGAGCGGCTTTCAGCGAGCCGGAGAAGCTGGGATCCTTGCAACAGTTCGTCTACTCGTGGAGCAACTGCGAGGACATGGGGCCTGCTCGTTTCCCCGTGGACGAGGTGCACAAGATCGCTATACTGGATATCCGACTCGCCAACACCGACAGGAATGGTTCCAACATTCTTGTTTGCGAGTCGCCGGACACCTCTTCCATGGAGCTCGTCCCCATCGATCATGGCTACTGCCTTCCAAGCAAGGTAAACCATCTCTCTCAGAGCAGATCTCTAAACTCGATCCATGCAGTTCGAGGACTGTACGTTCGAGTGGCTAACTTGGAACCAGTCCCGGCATCCTTTCTCCAAGCCGAGCCTGGAATACATCGCTTCTCTGGACGCGGACAAGGACCTGGAGCTCCTGGAGCAGCACGGGTGGCGGATTGGAGTCGAGTCGGCCCGAGTGCTGCGAGTCTCAACCATGCTGCTGCAGCGCGGGGCAGCTGCTGGGCTGTGCGCCTTTGACATCGGCTCCATGATGTGCCGGGACGCGCTGGACAGCAAGTCGGCCATCGAGAGAATGCTGGAGGAAGCCGAGGGGTGTGTTCTTCCCGAGACGAGCCAAGAGGCGTTCATGGAGGCCCTGGCTCAAGTCATGGATTATCACTTCCAGCAACCTCACACCCAACGGTAGCTTTCTGTAATCTTATTCTTCCGTTTCTATGGTTAAGCTTTGATCTCCACTCTCATGGTAAATGACTACCTTGCAACGTATTGAAGGGTATCCAATGTGCAAAGAACAGTTTGTGATCCAGTTAGAGATAAAACGTCAAACTTTGAAGCTCCAGGCCAAAACACAGTTTAAAGCCTTCTCTTCCTCCTCTCCTGAGATTTTCTTGTTTCCATCAGCAAGCAAGAAATTAAACAGGAAGTTCTTACTTGCTCATGATCAGTTGTTTCTCTCCTATGCACTCAAACAGCGATAAGTACAGCCATAGCTCCAGCTCCAAAGGCAAGCGTGCTGAGCAGGAGAAAGATCCACGATCCACGATCCATGATCGAGCAAGCGACTCCTCCAACCGTGCATGGTATCAACTCACTCCCGCCCCAAAACATCCATAAATTTTTTCCCAAAACCATTTCTAATTCGAAACTAAAATGGACGGTTGGCAAACCGTGCCATTAAAAGTGTGTTCAAATAACCAAATAAGTTTTGTTTGATTATTAAGGAATTTCAGCACTTTATTTAAATATTTTGAAATGCTTCTGATAATGATTAGATTTATTTTAACTCACTTTTGTTTAGTATCAAGCTTCCTGATGGTCAAGAAGATTATCGTTTGTCACTTCCACCAATTCAAATTGTAATGGCATTACCAATTCATGGCATTGCTAATTTAAATCAAATCTCCAATATAAATTATATGGTATGTGATTTATTATACAAGTGGAAGTCACACTAAACCCATTTATTATTAGACAATTGAACCATTAAATTATTAGATATTGAAGTAAGGAACATGAACAGATAGAGTTGTTTAATTATAAGATTTTAAAATAATACTTTTGTAGATTATGTAGAGAGTAATTTTATCAAGTTTTTATATCCTTTATAGTAGGCTCAACATACAATAATATTTATAATACTTTTGTTGCATAATAAACTCTTAATTTTTTTTAGCATTATATATAAAAGTATATAAAATAATATTTGTTACTTTTAATTAATTTGAGATTTCCACAAATTATATTAAGAAAAAATTTAATAAATAAAAATTAAAAATAAATAAAAGTAAAATAATTAGACTTTACATTATTGTAAAAATTAAGGCATTAGCTATTTTTCACACTTTTATTAGAACATAAATAAAGATGTTTTGAATGAAATAAATAATTTATTAAATTATATTTATTAATTATTTGAAGCTTGTTTCCAATTTTTTCTTTTGTTCTAGTTAAGTAGACACAAAAGATTAATGTTAATTTATTATTATCATAAAAAAATATAAATTACTTTACATATATATAAATTTTGAATAAAGATATTCATTAAATATATTAAAGGTTGCCACGCATAAATTATGGATACCAAGATGTATCCTAAAATAATAAAAAACTTTTACGTTAAATGGAAATAGCGTGTCAAGAGTTTAAATAAGTGTGGTGATGTAAAGGAATATGATGGTTATAAAGGATATTTATTACCTTTTATAAAAGTTTTGATATATCTATTTATGCTTATAACAACTAAGTTTTGAAAGAAATTAAAATTTATTTTGATCTTGATTTTATTACATATAGGCAATTGTGAAAAAAGTTTTTGGTAAAAATCACAAAAAAATAAATAAAATAAAAGTATAGCAAAATCTATATTAAAACTAATTAAGTTTTAAGTAGTTTATACATATAAAAAAATTTAGTTTCTCATAATGATAAAGTATTTTTTTGTTGATTGTAAATTATAATAATATTTATAAAAAATGAGTATAAAAAATTACATAGAACATTATGAGATGATGGTAACTGTTATTTTAATATGTTAGCTTTATGGGCTATAAATAAATATTATAGAAATTCATTATTTACTGTTTAAAATATTTATTAATGTTTTAAATATTTTTATGGTTATTAGATACATTCATTTTAATTTGATAAAAAAGTTTCATTTTAAAAATAAAAAAGTTTTCATTGATTAATCACCCAACTTCTCACCACACCTAAAAGTAAGCTTTACTATCATTTTATGCAATGTCTAAGAAATATTAAAAAATCTGAAAACACTTAAGCAACAGTCAGGTAAAAAACAGGTCCAAGCACTTTGAGTTGATAGTGCTTAAGCATTTGATCAAGCTAACACAAACCTAAGAGAATCATTGAAAAACACAATGAGTTCATAAAGACTCCTCACTTGGACCTTGAAAGCATAAGCTCAGAGACAGCAAAGAAAGTTTTACAGTGAGAACTCACTAGATTGGCGTGACTGAACAAACTCCTTTGCAGAAAAGTGAAAAAAGAAAAATAAAGTCACATAACATATTGTATATCAACCAACCCACACTAATGTCTTTGGCGCTTGCATTCTGCTCAAAAGATGTTAGTGCAAACGATGGGATTGGCAACACTTTTGTTCATTGGCGTGAACAAAAGTCATCCGGATCATTTGGCTTGGGATGCGTGGGCTACTTGTACCAAATAATTGATTTCTCGAATATCCTCGCCATGACCTTTGCAGACCCGAGGAAAACCCGAGCACAGTATTCCAGATTATATCAAGCGCTGCGCTCGCGAAGGTACGCGTTCGCTCTGGGCATACACTGCCAACCAGGAGAATTCCCCACTCGCCATGCCATCTGGACGATGAGATGCTTGCTCGCGAGAATCTAGTGTTCTTCCATTTGCTCGAAGAAGACTCATCAATCCAGTGAGCGGTTTGGAGGCGCCGAGGCGTTCATCGAGACCCTGGCTGAAGCTTCTTCCATCTCAATGGTCCAAGTTGCAAGCTTTTGCTCTCCATGAGTTTCACCACTCCCTCACATCCGGCAGCAGCAAGCCACGAGCTCGAATCGATCGTCTTCCCGGCGGCACGAACACCACAGTCGAGATCCAGGTAGAGCTTCACCGCCGAGACCAAGGTCCCCCACTCCACACCCTTCGGTAGAACAGCCATGCTCTCGACGAGCTCCTGGGCATCATCCAGCTTCCCGGCCTTCCCAAGGATATCGATCATGCAGCCGTAGTGCTCTCCCACCGGAGCTATGCCGTGATCCGAGACCATCGACACGAAGCACTCGCGTCCCTCCTTCACCATACCGCATCCTATCAGCACGCTCGCGTACGAGACCTCGTCCGGCAAGACGCCCTCCACTTCCATCCCCCGGAAGAGCTCCATGGCCTCTCTCCCATGGCCGTGCCGGGCATACGCCGCCACCATTGCGTTCCAAGCTCTCACGTCCCGCTCCGGCATGGAGTCGAAGAGGCTCTTGGCTTGATCCACCTGGCCGCAGCGAGCATACGCCTCGAGCAAGCTCATGGACGAGATCGAGTTCCTGTCCGGCATCTCGTCCAGCAGCCACTTTGCCTCGTCCAGCCGCCCCGAGCTTGCGTACGCCGCCACCATCGCGTTCCAGGCCACCGCGTCCTTGACAGCTATGCCGTCGAACACCCTCCTGGCTTCCTCGAGGTGGCCGTCTTGTGCGTAAGCCACCACCATCGCCGTGGAGGATCCCTGCGTTCTCTCCGGAATGGTGGCGTAGAGTGCCTGCGCGAGCTCCAAGCTCCGCTCCCTCACGTACGCTTGCAGCATCACCGTCCACGAGGCCACGTCCCTCTGCGGCATCCTGTCGAAGATGGCCTTGGACTCTTTCATCTGTCCCGAGTGAGCGGACGCCACTGCCAGTGCCACCCACGCCGAGACGTTCCTCTCGTGCATCCTGTCGAAGAGCTTCTTCGTGTCGTGCAAGTGCCCGCTCTTCGAGAACGCCATGAGCAAGACTGTCCAGGCCGTCGAGTTCTCCCCTGGAACTTGCTCGAACAGGTCCATCACCTCCGGGAGATGCCCATACTGCTTGCACGAGCACACCACCATCGTCCAAGTCACCTCGTTCCAGTAGCTCATCCTCTCAAACACCGCCTTTGCACGAGCGAGGTGGCCAGTCCGAGCATACGCGGAGAGCAGCGAGTTCCAGGCCACCAGATCCTTCTCGAGCATGTCGTCGAACAGCCTCCTCACGAGCTCCAGATGGCTGTCGTCGTGAGAGAAGGCCTGGAGGAGGATCGTGTTGGATGCAACGTTGTGCATCGGCATCACCTCAAACAAGGCCCTGGCATCGTCCCTGTATCCGTTGTGAGAGTAGGCCTCGAGCATCCTGTTCCAAGTCTCCAAACTCCGGTCCGGCATCCGATCAAACAGCTCCTTTGCATCGTCGAAACAGTCGTTGTCCGCAAAGGCCGAGAGCATGGTGTTCCACGACGTTGTGTTTGGATCCGGCATGATCTGAAAGAGCACCTTCGCCTCTTCAACTCGGCCACCTTGAGCATAAGCCGAGAGCATAACGTTCCACGACACCGGATCCGGATCTGGCATGGTATGAAACATGCTCTTCGCTTCCTCCAGCCGGCCATTCTTCGCATACGCATTCACCACCGCGTTCCACGAGATCACATCCTGTTCCGGCATCGAGAAGAAGAGCTCCTTGGCCTTGTCCACAAACCCGTTCTCAGCATACCCGCTTATCATGGCGTTCCAGGAGATCACATCCCGCATTGGCATCCTCTTGAACAGAAACTCTGCCTCGTCGTGGAAGCCGCTCTGGCTGTAAGCCACCGTCATGGCCGTCCAAGCCACCACGTTCCTCGTCGGCATGGTGACAAACACCCGGAACGCGTGCTCGAGGTACCCGTTCTGGGCATACGCAGCAACCATCGCGTTCCAGGTGACCAGAGTTCTCTGCGGGATGGCGTCAAACAGCTTCTTGGCCTTGTTCATCTCCTTGTTCTGTGTATAGATTGTCATCATCGTGTTCCACGAGATAACGTCCCTGCCCTGCATCCTGTCCCACAGCCTCCTGGCCTTGTGCAGTGCTCCATTCACGGCATAACCGGTGAGCATGGTGGTATAGGCCACGGCGTTCCTGTCCGGCATCCCCATGAACAGCCGCGTAGCGTCGTGCATGAGGTTGTTCTCCACGTAAACTTTGAGCATGAGCGAGTGCGTGTAGTCGTTCCTGTCCTTGATCCGGTCGAAAACCCATCTGGCTTCGACGACGCTGCCGCACTTGCCATACATTTCGATGAGCAAATTGCTGAGGAACCTGCTGCCGCGGTACACGGATTCCCGGATGCAGGCATGCACTCGCCGGCCTTCCTGCAGGTCCTTTGCATCTCCGCAGGCCTTGACGAGGCATATGAAGTTGTTTCTTTCGTTGCTCGCTTCCGCCAAGTTCTCCACCTCGGGCTGGAGATCAAGGTTTCTCGGAGCTGATTTGTCAAAATGCCATTTAGGTGGGTGGCGGATTTTCACCATGGCTCTAAATTAACACCAGATACGAATGTTAGAAAACATAGAAGATAGCCAAGTCTTAAACCGGAATCTTAGCAGCTGGAATGCTTGAAGAACTCGCAGGCAGACACCAACTCGGCCGTTGTCCCCTTCTCATTCGCGGAGTGGCCGGCGTTTGAAATAACCTGATAGAAGAAGGGAAATATGAGAAAGCCATTGTCTATGCTTGGGCAGTGAAACTTACTTTGAAGTTGGCTTCCGGCCATGCTTTGTGTAAGTCCCAGGCTGACATCATAGGACAAATTACATCATATCGACCCTGATTGAGAAAAGAAAATGTCGCGACCAAACGTCTGGATACTTCAAAACTCACCTGCACGATGACCGCTGGAATATGGCGTATTTTGTCAACATTGTCCAGCAGAAACGAATCCGACGGAAAGAAGCCCTTATTTACAAAATAATGGTTTTCGATTCGAGCAAATGCCTGTTAAGAAACAAGCAGCGGAGTAAATGACACCATATACAGAAGTAGTTCTTGCTTACCAGAGAAAATCGATCATCTTCCCCTCTTTTCAGGGAATCCTCATTTGGAAGAAGATATGAGGTCGCTAATTCCCAGTTTGTCCAAGCTTTTGACGCTGCCAACTGCGCTACCATTGAGTCACAAATCTTGTGCATTCATTTGTATGATACCTGGACGTTTATATTATCGTCGTTAAGTCTCCTATGGTAAGCACCGACGAAGTCATTGCGTTCCTCCTCAGGTATGAAGTCACGATAAGCCTCCCAAGCTAGATATTCCTTACCACAATAGGAACAATCTGTCACCAGCGAACTTTACACAATAGACACGTAGTTACCATCCGGGAAAATGGCAGAGCATCCGTATTGGTAAAACCAGTCGATTTCTTTCTTCCTGAGCATGAAAATACCTCTTACGACTATTCCTGCAACCTGTAGGAAGTCCTCGTGTAGGAAGACTGAGATACGTTCGTAAACATACCTGTTCTGGATGAGATTCACTGTATGCCAAAGCTAAAGTGCTTCCCCACGAACCTCCAAAGACCTGAAAAATGTAGATGAAGAACAGTGGATATATCTCTCACGAGCACTAACCAGCCATTTATTGATTGCCAGATGCTTTCGTAGCTTTTCGATATCTTTCACGAGATCCCAGGTAGTGTTCTCGTCTAAACAAGCATGCGGCAAGCTTTTCCCAGCACCACGCTGTTCTCCACAAAGCAAGACCAAAGCGTTTCTAGCTTTCAGTAGAAAGACAATGATCACACACACCTGATCGAAAAGAATGATTCGATAGAACTCTGGGTCGAAAAATCTCCTGTTGCCACCGCTAGTTCCAGCGCCAGGACCACCGTGAAGAAAGACGACAGGCTAGAAATCCAGTACGTGAGAATCTAAAATCCTCGAATGGAGAGAAGCCAGCTTACCTGACCATCAGAATTCCCGCTTTCTTCCCAGTATATGGAGTGAAGCTCCGAAACCTCAAGATGACCAGTGGCATAGGGCTGGATTGCCGGATACAGTGTCGTCCGCGAAGATGTTTCGATGGAATCGACCGGGACGTCCATCTTGGATGCGACTCCTGCGCAGTAACGCATTCCAAAGAACCCTAGATAAAGAAATCCCCGATTTCCAGCGTGGATCGACACAATACCTGAGGCGCGCAGCGTGGATCCGCGAAGAACAGAGGACTGGGATCGCCCGGGAATGCTCTGGAGCCTCGGTCCCTGGCTAGACGGCGATGGCGAGGACGATGGCGCTGTGAAGCGATGGCGAAATACCAATTGCAAAGAAGCCATCGATATGATCTAAGACTTCTCTATTAAGCCATAAAAGAACCAAGTTAAACTAATCACTCTTACAATACAAACCGTCTTACCAAAATTTAGTTTTGTTTGATCTATAGCTTACTTCTTTCTTCTTCGTTTTCTTGGTCGATCATCTTCGTCCCTCGAGTGAGCGTGATCCAGCCTACGCTCAACACGAATACTGGGAAACGCATCTTGGAGGGCTCCAAAGAATCTTTTCCATCCCACGTAAACACCCTCGATCACCATCGCAGTGATATCCCTCGGGACTTCATCGACCGAGCCCTGAGCGATCCTGAAACATTCCAAATAGTCGTCCCTGTCCACGAAGTCGGGAGCCTTTCGCCAGCTTCCTCCAGGCTTGTCGACCAGAAGAACATTGGGAGAGACCATCGTCACGCTCTGCAAGATGTGTGCCAGCATGATCCTTCCAGTTCTCCCGTTTCCATCCACAAAGGGATGGATGCTCTCGTACTGGAAGAAGAACCTCCCGCCGAGTTTGAGCAGCTTCGTGGTCTTGTCCTGTGATCTGCTGCTGCTGAGAATCCTGCCAAGATCTCTGCTCGTCTTCCTCATGAGACCCCTGAGCGCTGAATCGATTCTCTCGGGTCGCATGAAGAAATGCTTGCCGTCTTTGTTGTCTACGTAGACAATCTCGGACAAGTTCCTGATTCTCCCGGCGATGCTCGGACGAGTGAAGCAAAACATCGACTTGTGAGAGTCGAGAAGCAAACCAATCCCTCCACTGCCGAATTTCTCCTCACCCTGTCCAAAGAACCATGGCACCAGTGCTTGATTCAGCCCCCAGACGTTCTTGATCCGCTCGTCACAGTCGTCGTGCATCTCCATCTCCAGGACTCCATCCTTGTGGATTGCCTGTTGGGTCTCCTCCAAGGTATCAAACCCTTCGCCCTCGATCTTGTTCACTTGAAAGAGCCATTCTGTGGTGGCTCCAGGTGAGTAGCACCTTGCCGCCCAATCCTTTCCTGGAGCTCCTAGATTCTCATACCTTGAGCGCATTCCTGAAATCTCTTTCACCATAGCGCTGGTGCTCATTCCCTTGCCCCGCCAAAAAGGGTTCTCCCGATACTCCTCCATTAGCAAACCCAATGCTTTTGCCCTAATTTGCCAAGCTTTAAAGTCCCAAAAAGGGACAATTAGCATTTCTCTTAGCATATTCTTGTCTTTCGTTTAGGGCAAAACAGAGAACTTGGCTGTTCTAAAGTGCTCCAGCTTGCCTTGCGCGGAGAATTTCCACGAGATATTCCTCACCTCGCGCTCGCTCACCACCCAATGCACCGCGCAGGAGAACTCCTCTCCCAATTTCACCTTCTCTGGAACGCATGCGGTGAATCCATAGGGCATGTGGATCAGCGTGCTGTCGTCGCAATCTGGCTTGAATCCTCTCCAGATCGCTGGTTTCCTCGTCGCCAGGACCAAACCGGTGGGATAGAGCGTCGTCTCCTCTCCTACGAATTCCCCTGCTGGTTCCTCTCGCTTGGATTCCAGAGCCACTGTCGCAAGATCGTGATTCCAGACGCTCCCACGCCACGAATCCTCCGGGCGATCGTCCGTGTCCCGGCTCTCCTCGAGGATTTGGGACGCTGAGAGCGATCCGTCGGTGTTGTAGCTGACGATGATCGCTACCCTCGCATTCTTGCCTGCAAAGAACAAAGAATCTCTAGAGAAAAGAAAAGAGGGCATGGATCGACGATTCGCTCACCTGGAAGCATGAAGAACACCTCGCCGACCACTGGGCGCTGAGGGAAATCGATGTCCAGCCCCAGCCAGGCAAGATCGCCATTGGGAAAGACCAGCGTCCTGGAATTTGGGACCGCGGGGTGGATGATCCCGTCCGCGCCGCAGTGCTCTTGCCGATTGATCAGCCACGATTTGGGCGTCATCTTCCTCTCGGAAGCCCCGGCCGGATCATACCAATCGTTCCTGTGGAACACAACCGAGCCATCTGCGGCGCGAGATTGGAATGACCTGATGCTGCGGTACGTCCTGGCGATCTCTAGCGAGTCGCTCACCCGCCAGTTGATCCAGATGCCGTGCCAATGCTGCCAGTGAAATTCGCCAAACCAGCGCCATAGATCTTCGGGATTGAGCTTGCGCGGTTCTTCCGCCATAGAAATAAAGATTTGACTCCCTGGCAGGATTCGAACCTCGCCAATACTAAGTACTCATCACTGGCAGGATTCGAACCCTCGACAGTGATAGGGCCTTTTAGGTTTCTTGGTTTGGGGAGCGGGAACGATGGTGATGGAGGCGGCGGAGGCGGCAGAGGCGATGGAGGCGATGGAGGCGGCGGAGGTCGTGGCGAGATATGTCCTCTATGCCTCCGGCACAGGTAGGGCTGCGTGGAGAACCACGGCAAGGTATGATCGATCAATTGCGCTTGCCATCTCTTATTTTCGTTGATTGATTCCCAGTTGCTGAGGCATTTCGTTCACAAGGAGGATTATGAAAGAAGGCGCCCGATGAAGCGTGACCCGGATCACGAAGCACAGATTTACATCGTCACTTTCTTGGTCCTTAGCCTCTCGTAAGTTTCTTCCTTTTCTTCCTCTTGTCTAGAATTTAAGGCCTTCTCTCAGGACCTCTGGCGTGGAGATTATCAAGTGTTGCAGTGGGTCTAACCAAGCGTGCGCCTTTCTAGCATTTTCGTTTCGACAAACAGTGGCGATTATTTTCGGTGGTGGTGGCGGGGTGGACTATGAAACAGGAGAACACACTTCTTATGGGCGACTGGTATCCTTTTATCGCGCATTCAGGTCCTGTTTGGAGGAGCCATTTCCTCTCACGGTTGGGATGCTGAGAAAATGGCATCGAGATTTGGTTCCAGCCGGGGGGAACTTTCGTACCACAGACGTTTATGTCGGCTCCAGGGACTCCTGGCGTCCGTGTTTTCAACTTGAGGAGAGACTGGCTGTTGTAGTCGACGAGCTCGAAAGAAGCATCCATGCTGCTGGTGGACGAGAGAGCTTAATCATCACAGCTGCTGGACGATTCTTCTACGATTTCGAGATGATACACCCGTTTGCAGATGCAAATGGTAGAGTCGGGCAGCTATGTTTGTTTTTTACGCTCCGCCAGGTAAATGTTCCCTTTCATTGGCACTAAAGGACTTTCGTTTTTTCCCAGGTAATGCAGTTGCCAACGTTTCTATGGACATCAGTGGATGGCAATTCCTTGGACCGAGAAGGCTTGAATGCCTGCCTCGAAGGACCTGATGCCTCGGTGTTGATCGCAGCCATTCAGGCTGGGATTGAGTATGGAAGACACAGGGGGGTACGTAGGCTGTGCTGCATTAATCTTTTCTTTCTAGCTTTATAACCTTTGTTTATTCAGCTGGACAAGATGCCATTGCGCTTAAACGACGAAGAAACAGCAATGTACAACAGGATGCTGCAGTATGGTCACGCTTACGCCAAGGCGATTCGAATTTTCGACGTCCTCGATCCTTACTTGTGCTTGAGGCGTTCCCAGCTTTGGTCATTCAACCAGGCGATACTAGGTGGTTTCAGAAGCAACGGGCTCATTCACGGGGACTCTCTTCTCTCTGGGCTCAACATAGTTATGGACACACACGCTCTCAGTGTTTCTACGTTCGTAACTGCTATTTCAGAGGCATTCGTTTCTGGACGAGCTCAGCCGCTATTTGAAGAAGCCAACGTGGACACGCTTCTGCTGATGCTAGATTTCCTCGTGCGGCGTGTGGTTCCTACAGATGCTTCAATAACCACTCACGTATCACTTGAAGACTTCTTGACTGGTAAGCTTTCTTTCCTATTGTCTTGTGTTTTGATTTCTTTTTAATCCTCAGAGAACACCATCCGCGATATCCTTCTCGAATTCGTGGCACACGCTTGGCGTCTTTGGAAGCAGAACTGGAGTCCCGAGAAGCCAGTGGCAGCAGCAGGAGCTCAATTCAAGTTGGACTTCGACGGTCTGGAGGCGCCGCCTTTCTCATGTATATATCTTTCCGGTGAGCGTGCATGCACTATTGACCTTCGTTACTTCTCGGTTGATAGCATCAGTTTTGACGGGAACGCATGGTGCCCTTTTTACTGCGTTCGATGTGATTGATGTACAAAAGCTACTTTGGACATTGTCGAAGTGACACGCAATAAAAATGTCCATTATCGATCTAGACAATGGTAAATCTATTGTTAGGTCAAAAGGAGCAATGCCACATGATCCCCTCTCGCCAAAATGTTAAGCTTGGTTTCTTCTGCTTCTTACACCGCCACAAATCCTTCTCACTGAGAAGAACCTCCCAAAGAGAAGACGAAAAGAATGTTTTGCTTGGAGCGCTCAAGTCGTGTAGCTTCTCGGGAGACCTGGAAAGAGGTAAAAGACTCCACTTGGAAGCGATCGAGAGAGAGCTCCATACCGACGTCTATATCGCAACCTCGCTTGTTCATATGTACGCCAAGTGCGGCAGCATGGCGGAAGCTTGGCAAGTCTTCCAGAGCATCAGCAATCCAACGATCGTCTCCTGGAACGCTTTGATCCTGGGATGCGTCGAGAACGAGCAGTGCTCGCTCGCTCTCGAGATCTTCTCTCAAACGAGGGCTCCAAACTCTGGAACTTTCACAGCTGCTGTCATGGCTTGCTCGGGCTTGGCCGAGAGAGAAGAATGGCAGGAGCTGGATCGTTGTCTCGTCAAGATCAAGAGCCTGGAACAGGGAATGGTGATCCATTCTAGAAAACAATCGGCAGGCCTACCGGAGAGCTTGTTTGTGGAGAATTCTTTGATCGATATGTACTCGAAGTGTGGATGTTTGCTGGATGCCCGGATGGTTTTTGACAGGATGAAGTTCCACGACGTCGTGTCGTGGAATTCCCTGCTGCTGGGATACGTCGAGAATGGATTTTGCGTGTTGGCGCTGGAGTTGTTCTCGCGGATGGAAACTTCGGGCTTGAGACCCGACCCGAGAACGTTTGTAGCAGCACTTATAGCCTGCGCTCCAGAAGAGAGTACTATCAGCAAAGAAGAAGAAGAGAACAGTGAAAGAAAAAGAGATGGACTTACAACTTGCCTGGAGAAGACGATGGCTCTTCACTCGCAGGCAGCAGCAGCTGGTTTAGTCGAATCCCAGATTTTTGTGGCCAACACGCTGGTCGATCTGTATGGAAAGTGTGGAAGCTCCGTGGATGCTCGCAAGGTGTTTGATAGAATGGCTCACCACAGCACTGTTTCGTGGAACGCTCTTCTCTTGGGATACGTTGAGTGTGGAGAGAGCGAGCTAGCTATGGAAGTGTTTTTGGCGATGGAGGAAATCAAAGATAGAGGAGTAACACCAAACTCTAGAACTTATCTCGCGGCACTGAAAGCCTGTGCGGAGATCGCAGGCAAAGAGGAAGAGCATGGAAAGAAAAGGCTGGAAGAACACGAAGAAGTTGACGAAGAGCTACGCAAGAACATCGAGAACGAAGAACTTGACGTAAACTTGGGACGAGGAGGAAGAGGACCGAAGCTAAAATCTCTCAAGAGAGCACTCTGGATCGACCATCGCTTACCTCGAGGAAGTAGTGATATCTTCATCGAGAACACGCTGATCGAGCTCTACTCCAACTGTGGCTCCCTCTTGGACGCTCGGAGAGTCTTCGATTCCATGCCTCTCCACAACCTCGTCTCCTGGAACGCGATGGTGGTGGCATGCGTTGAGAATGGCGAGCCGGAGATGGGAATGGATCTCCTCGATTCTATCCGAGATCGAGAGCTTCTCCCGGACGCCCAAATCCTGGTCTCCACGCTCGCGGCCACGACCAGCCTCGATCTCTCGCTAGAAAATGGGACGATCCAAATGCCCTCTCTGGGCAAATGCTGTAAGCGCCGGATCCACGCCCTTGCCTGCCGCTGGGGGCTCGAGACAAATCAACTCCTGGCCAGCAGCGCGATCGACCTCTACGCCAAGTCTGGTGGATCCATGCCCGCCGCGCAGCACATCTTCGATTCCTCGCCATCGCCCTCCGCCAGGGCCTGCTGGAACGCCCTTCTGGCGGGCTACTCGATCCACGGCCACTGCGATCGGGTGCTCGATCTCTTCGCCCAGATGCGCAGAGAAGCCACCGATCCCGACGCGATCACGCTGCTGGCGATCCTGGCGGCGTGCAGCCGCGGCGGAATGCCCGATCTGGCGAGGAGAATCCTGGCGGCCATGCCGGAGAGGCATGGGATCTCGCCCAGCGCGCGGCACTACGCCTGTGTGGCGGACGCGCTGGCGAGGGCGGGGCGAGGCGGAGAGGCCGTGGAGGTGGTGGCGGGGATGCCCGTGGCGGCGGATGGGGCGTGCTGGATGGCGGTGCTGGGATCGTGTCGGCGGTGGAGGAATGTGGCAGCGGCGGAGAAGGCGTTCCAGGAGCTGCTCAAGATCGACGAGAGCAAGCCCGCCGCCTATCTGCTCATGGCGAACACTTACTGCTATTGAAGAGCCCTAGATATAAGCGAAGCTTTTACAAAAACGAATATCCTTTAACGAAAAAATAATATTCTCCCAACGCGATTAAGTTTAGGTTTAAAACATTACTGCGAAGAGAATATCCTATAACGGCTAGAGAATATGCTTCAAACTACGAAAAACTTAACCAATGGTTTAGATTGTTTTATTTCGAGCCAACAAGAATTTATACCCAAGAACAAGATCAGAAGTTGCATCTATCCTCGCTCCCATCGTACAAATCGTCGTGGATCTCGTCCTCGAAACCATCATCTTGCCGATGATGCTCATAATAATCTCTCGACGAATCCTCCTCCTCTCCCTGCTCACACGGATCGTTCCGAGCAGCGATCTTCTCACCTTCCTTGTGCTCACCTGGAGTACTGCTCTCTTCGTATCGCTCTTCTTCTTGCTCGAGCGCAGCATCGTCACGATGATCTTCTTCTCTCCACGAATCCTCAGCGTAAAGCTCCTCTCCCTGTCCTTGTTGGTCACAGCCACCGCTCTCGGCGGCGAGCTCCTCGTCCTCGTCCTCGTCCTCGTCCTCGTCCTCATCGATGGCCTCCATTGGAGTGTGGTTCTTGTATTGTGCAAGCTCTTGCTCGAGGGCGGCAGCGTCTTGCTCGGCCTCCATGGCTGCGGCTGCCGTGTCCGGATCCACGTCCGTGAACTGGAACTTCACTCTCTCTGCCATGACGCACATCGGACAGGGCGCAGCTCTCTGTAGCCGGGACTCCAAAAGCCTCTGCTGCAAAGTTGCCATCTCCGTGGCGTGTCGCCGCTTGAGTTTCTCCATCTCCCTGTACATTCTATCTGCGTCTTGCTCCGCCAGTGCCGCAGCGTCCTAAACCAAACAACAAAAAAGGTTTGTCAGCTGGCAAACAATCGAAAGAGCTTTCAGGCTTACGTTCGCGATGGCGGCAGCCTCCTCCGCTTCTTTCAAACGGACAAGCAGTTCCCCAGCAGCTTGTACGGCCTCGGCGGTGTCACGCAGCTGCGACTGGAGGAACTCAATCTCCTCGTTCGCGGCCTCTCGCTCCTGCTCACGCTCGAGATTCAACGCGACGATCTGAGCTGCCTGCGACTCGAGCCACTTCAGCTGTGACGAGCTTGCCCCTGCTCGCATGGCCATCTGCCTCACGTCCGTTACTCCCTCGCGGATCCTCCGTTGCTTTGCTACGAGCGCTACATGCTTCTCTTGGAGCTCTGCATACTGCTCCAGCAGCCGGGCATGACCTGTCATTGCTACTTCCAATGCATCCTGCAGCTCCTCGACTTCACGACGTCGTGCTTGATTGTCATCCGCCTTGTCCGGATCTCTCTGTTGCGCCAATGCAAAGTACTCTGGCATCTGCTCGTCATGCTTTTCGGGAGTCGCGTTGTGATCGTTTTCTCTGCTGTCGTTGACAGTGTTTTCTTTGATGCTCTCGACAGAATTTTCTCTGCCCTCGACAGCATTCTCGTCAATCTCCATTTCTTCATCCGAATCCGAATCCACCGTTGCTGGCACCGTCATTGGAAGCGCTAGACTTAGTCTCAAGAGGTTGTAGCTCCTACGGGCGTTGCATGCGCTGGAATAAGGACCGTCAACTCCTTGTTGCTTTTCCTTGGATTTCATGCGCTTTAACTCATCCTGTGGCAGCCAGAGGCAAAACGTTCGGAAGCTAAGTCAGCTAGGATTAAGTATCATTACCTTAAGTTGACGTATTTGCTCCCTCAGCAAGTTAGAGTCGGAGGTAGTTTCCTCGTTGACAACCGCCTTGTTCTGTATAGCCTTCGCTCGTTGAGCAAATCTCAAGGTACTAGTTGACTCGCTTTTGCAGCTGCATCACGGAAGAAAAGATCATCCACAAAGAACGATTCATACAGGAAATTTACCTGTCGGCTGGGGATACTGCACATATCATTGCCAGTTTGGCATTGCCACCAAGGGACTCTTGCAAGAGAAATGTAAGCCGGGAGTCCCGATATGGTACATGGCGTTGCTTTCCTGATTGAGCAATTTCTGCCAGTATGTTGATCACGTTTCTGTACAAAATGTCAGTTTATGCACCAGCGACTTAAAACTACATACCCAAGCTGTGAGAGAGATCTGTTTATGTTGCCAGCTTCTTTCAAACGTTCACCTGCAGCACCACTTTGTTTTTGTCTCTCCGATCCAGCAAGATCCACCAAATTAATGCGGCTTCTTCGAACGCTGCTCATACCGTCCGCCAACGTCTGCTCCAAACCATGATTATTAGTGAGAAATCTTTACTATGCACTCACCTTGTACCGGCATTCTAGCACACAAGTGAATACGGTGTGTGACCGAGAGCTTTCCGTGTTCAGAGAAGTTGCACCTATTCTACGGTTTCCTAGCCCTTTAAGAAGAAGCCGGGAGACATCATCCATGTTCGACACGTATTCCTCGGTAAGGTTGTCAACATAGACGCCAGTTTTTACATCTTCCCGAACCTGTATGGCACAAATAAACTTCGTGGCAAATTCAAAGTCGTGTTACCTGAAGGTTTTTGTGCCTAGGCTCCAAGAGGTCAGCAATTTGTTCGTTGTAAATCTGCAACAAGATGTTAGGAGACATGCATTCGTTGTAGATGAAATTTTACCTCGAGAAAGGAGCAGCGGCACTGAAAAAACAGCTGCTTCTCTGCATTTTTTGTCTCCTCCTGTGAAAGAGAGAGTCCTGTCAGATAAAAAATAAGAAGTCCGCGAGAAAGAAACCATACCTCTTTTATTCGCGAAAACAATGTCTCAAACACCCGTGGCGTCACTCCCCTCTCGGCGCTAGGAGGCTTTCCACTTGTGGGATCATGGACAACACCCCACATCGTGTATGTTTTTCCACTCCCTGTCTGCAAGGAAGAAGATGTTTCAATACAATGTCACATGCATGCGAGGTAAATACCTGTCCATAAGCAAAAATCGAACTGTTAAATCCAGCCAAACAATTTTCCACCATTGGCAATCCAACCAGCTTAAACATCTCCTCCTGCAAACGGAGATCAAAGCTTTAGCAAATAAAACTAAAATCATCCATTCACATATACCTGAGTAGAATCCTCATCAGCAACAGCATCGAAAGTGTAATGCTGGTCGCAAATCGAGAGAGAGTTCGTGGATGCCTTGCTGATAATAGCGCTAGATTGCTCCAGCAGCTCCTTCTTGTTGAATGGCCTCACTCTAACGAGAACCTGGCATAACGCAACAAAAAGAGGCGATGTAAAAACCTCTGGAATTTCTTACACTGACCAGCTTACCGAGACTCCAGTGTCGCTGGATTTCTCGCTGTCCGCCGGTTGCTCGGAATTCTGCTGCTCCCACAGTAGCTTCCGCTTTGGAATTTTGCTCGCGGACGAAGGGGGCCGCGGCGGAAGCCCGGGGCTGGAATGCAATGGCGTCGTCCCGGCGCTGAAATTCCCCTTGACTGCTGCCTTGACGCCGGATTTGCAATGCAGGGGAGAATCACCGCAGAGATTACTCCCTCCCCGCCCGGGCGTCGTGTTTGGGGGCACATTCTCAGCATTCCTCTTGATCTTGTGCTTGACCGGCGAGCTTCTTGCTTGAAACGCCATCGAAATCTATACGATCGATCGGCCGCTGGATCCTCTCTCGGAATCTCTACAAATCTACCAGGCGCCCCCTCCCATACCTAGAAGATCCTCCCACGCGCTCGGCAAAACCCTAAAGAAGCACACCCAGAGAGAAAAAACACTGCCCCTCTCAAAAACGCCTAGTGACCGTTGAAGGCCATGTCAGATATCCACATGGCAACCAGCATATTCCGACAGCCTAAACATCTTGGTTAATTAAAACTCAAGAGCCCTAAAACAGGTTACCTTTAACATAAGAACCCTAAAACCGGTTAAAAATGAAGAACCCTAAAATCTTATTAACTTCCAAAAGTTGATGTTATTCTTTCGCAAAGTTTTCTTAGCCATTTTTGCTAGTAGCTTCTTCCTCGTCCAGTAGGATCTGCTTACACGCCTCGTAGCACATGAAAGAAATCCCGGCGGCGGGAACGAGCTTGATGCAGCTCGCACCGATTCCACGGTAGAGTCCGGCGACGCCTTGCTTCTCCACGATCCCGCTCAAGGCATGGAAGAGATGGCGATAGACCTGTCGCCCATTTAGAGCTCCCACTTGCATTTGCTTCCTCGCCACCTCCAGGGGATACGTAGCGCTGCTCGAGATCACTCCGGCGGCGGAGCCGATCAAGAGCGTTGCCAGATGCCCCACTCGATCCTCCTTTGCCAACCTCCGGTAGCCTTTCTTGAGAGATTCGTAGGCCAGGTAGTTTATCCCGCAGTAAGGGATGATGCCAATGACGCTGGGAACCAGGCCGCGGTAGAGCTCCAGCGGCCCTTCGTCCTGGACGATCTTCAGGAAGGCGTGCAAGAGATTGTCGTAGACGCCCCTCTGCGAAGGATTGGCGAGCTCTTTTAATCCATTCCATCGACAAGATGAGAAGAGAACTGTGCTGGTACCTGGACTGTGAGTCGCGTTTTCAAGAGCTCCAGGGGGTAAGTTAGGACTGTGGAGCACACTCCGGCGGCAGCACCAGCGATTGTGGGAACTGGAAGTGGAAAGGAGATCCTCGGGGCTTCTCCTTCTTTCGGTTGCAAGACCTTCTTCACAGTGTCGTAAGCAAACAACTGCGAAGGAAAACCAAACCAGTGAGCCTTCAAAGTCGCAAGAAAATGTTATCTAAGTTTCAGTCACAATCCTCGAACTAACTCTACCTTATCTCAGTTTCAACTCTAAAGCAAACCAACGAGCTAAAGTTCACTCACAGTCAAACTATCCATCCAGCTCGATCGGAAAACAATAGAAAAACTCTCCATCTAGCTCTTCATGAGAAGGACTAAAAGAAAAAACTGAACCTCGATAGCTTTTCTAGTTTATCTCAGTCCCAACTCTACACTGAAGCTAAAGTTCACTCACTCACAATCAGACTATCCATCTAGCTCAATCAAACAATGATCTCTCAAGAACTCTCCATCTAACTCTACACAAGAAGGACTCGAAGGAAAAACTGAAGAGAAGAAGCCTACCTCGATAGCTTTGCTAGGAGTGACGCGGATGACATTGATCCCGTTGCCTCGAAACAATCCTTGCCAGCCTTCGTGCTGCATGATATGGACGAACACAGCACCGACGGAGTTCCCAGCATTTCCAACCATCAAATGCGTCCGGATCGTCTCAAGTGGTGCCACAGCAGTTCGAGACACTGCTCCTGCAAACGCACCACTGAGCAACCGTCTCAAAGATGGATTCTTAACCTTCACCTTCTTGAGTCTAAAGAGCTCCTGCCACCAAAGAAAAAAAACCTTCCCCCCCTCTTCCTCCCTCCTTTTCCCTGCTACCTTCTCACTGTCCTCTCCTATCATCAATTCCTCCTTCAAATCCTCGATCGGCGGCCACAGCGCTTGCTGGAGGCTCGAGGCCCGATTCTTCGGCCACGTCGCCTCTATGAGCTTGTGCTGCTCCGAGCAGATCAGCGCCGGCAGCGCCGCGATCGAGGAGCAATCGGCCAGGCTCTGGGACGCCTTCTTCACCGCTACCTGCATCGCATCGATGGATTGTGCCTTGAGCAATCCCCTCGACATTTCTATCGCTGCTAATCGCTCAATCGATCAATCGTCCCCCCTCCTCACCTAAGAGTCAACGAAATCCCGCTACTAATCTGGACTAGAAACCCTGCCCGGACTGTAGACGCATTCTTTTCTCCGCTGTTCGTCCAGATTATCGCCGCCGCGAATGCGATGGAAGAAGAAGAAGAACTAACCGGATGAGAGCTCGGAGCCCAGCACTCGAGCACCACGAAAGCATCGCCCCAGCGCCATGAAATTAGGGCTCTGGGACCCGGCGGATATAAAGCAGCTACTCACACAGCCTCACATTAACACTTGGTAAGCCACGTGGCAGAATATACACCATATCTCGTCTTATTCAAAGAATCTGGCGTTTAGGGGTTAGGGTTTAGGTTTTGAGCTTTTCACTTTTCTTTTGGTCTTTTGGCGCCCAGTCATAAGATCGCTTGTGGAATGGAAAATCCATTCATTCATTCATTTATATACTATTTACAAGGTCTGCCCCCCAAAAAACATGAAGACCGACCGATTCAAATATTCCGTGGTGATAAAAATGTGATCATAGAGCTTGATTTACAAATTACATGATTACACAAATACTCACCAATGTTAATAATAAGGGAGCATCGGTGTACCTGTGAGAAAGAGCCTCCTGAAAGCTGGCATTTGGTGACTTTCTCTAAAAGGACTTAGAAACAATAGGCTATAAAACATCCAGATTTCCAAAAAGGAAATGAATTTAAATCACTATATTATAAGTTTATTGTAGGTTAATATGTATATATAAAAAAATGAGTAATATTACTATAATTGATATAAGACTGAGTCAAGTTTATACGCTAAGAAGTCTCTATAGCTCGTTTCCACGATACAACCGATTTGCCGACACGTGTCATTATAAAAGCTATTGTATTGTAGGTTTTAAACAGGAGTGTCACTGACGAGAGGGATTTTGTGGCGATGGCAGAGGGAGCGAGCAAGAAGATGATGGCGGCTTTGCAGTACTCCAAGTACGGCGAAGGCGCCACTGGTCTCAAGGTATGATCAAGCTAAATGCCCCAAAATTCTTGGATGATCGAGCCCTGGAAATGTTGCAGCATGTGGAGATCCCAGTCCCGACGCCCAAGAAGGACGAAATTCTGGTCAAGATCGAAGCTGCAGCGATTAATCCCGTGGATTGGAAGCTCCAGAAGGGAATGCTCAAAGTCATCTATTCTATCAAATTTCCATACATACCTTGTAAGTATCCAGGCGTTTTTTCTTTGGAGCTGGAATTGAGATTCTTTTTTTCTCCTGGCTTTTTTTTTCTTTTTTGTCTTCTTGATCTCCACAGGCACTGATGTGAGTGGAGAAGTTGTGAGCGTTGGTCCTGGTGTCACTGGATTCTCACAGGGAGACAAAGTTATCTCTTGGCTCGATCTTAAGGTGATTTTCACTTTTTTTTTTCCTCTCTGGCTTGAGAGGTTTGTGACACTTAAAACTTTGGTGGTTTTCATAGCGCGGTGGAGGATTTGCACAGTATGCTGTAGCTGGAATAAAGTACACGGCCAAGAGGCCATCAGGAGTTTCGGCTGTCGAGGCTGCGGCTTTGCCAGTGGCTGGACTCACTGCATATCAAAGCCTTCGAGACTCCGGTGGATTGAAGTACGATGGATCTTACAAAGGAAACGTTCTCATCACTGCTGCCTCTGGTGGCGTGGGTACTTATGCTGTTCAAGTGAGTTATTCTTTTTCTTTCTTTGATCTTTCACTAATGGTTTCTTCTTATCAGCTAGCAAAGCTTGCCGGCGCTCACGTCACTGCAACCTGTGGTGCTCGAAACGTCGATCTCGTCAGGAGCTTGGGAGCGGACGAAGTTTTGGACTACAAGACACCAGAGGGTGCTGCGTTGAAGAGTCCATCGGGGAAGAAATATGACGTTGTTCTTCAGTGCGCAACTACGATGCCATGGTCCACTTTCCAGCCCGTGCTTTCTTCCAAAGGCAAAGTCATCGATCTAACCCCAAGCTTCGGAGTGATGCTCACCAGCGCCTTCAAGTTCCTGACAATGTCCAAGCAAAAGATGACCATCTTCGTGATGTCAGCAAACGCGAAAGATCTGGGAGAGCTGGCCGAGCTCGTGAACGAGAAGAAGGTGAAGTCGTTGATCGACTCGGAGTTCCCGCTGGACAAGGCCGAGGATGCTTGGGCGAAGAGCATCGAAAGCCATGCCACTGGAAAGATCGTTGTGACAAACAAGGACGAAGCTGCAAGCTACTGACCGGGTCTTCATAGCGGTTTGTTTGACGGATCAGTAGTCCATCTACTTGGGGAGGTATGTGAATAGTCAAGAAAGTTTGTATATCAGGTACTCGGCTTTTGTTTTTCAACGCGTTATTTTGTTTTATATTTTTCATGCTTTCGTGTAACTGTTTGTGCTTTGTTTTTTTTGGCAGAGTTTCGTCATGACGGTGGTGGCGCCGTGATTTCGATCTTTGAAGCTTAAGGATTTATTTCTTAAGCTTAAGAGCGATGATCTCCACCTGGCTACGTTTCGTCCTTTCACTGTCTCATCCAAAAGCACGGCACTGGTGCTCGAGAATTCTAGACTCATGAGTGAGCTCAGTCAGGGAAGAGGCAAATGGCCGGGGACGAAGATCGAAATCACGGCAGCTCCATTGTCAAGTCTCCCAACGAAACTCTCCAAATTCTCGCTTCAAAGTTCGACAGTCTCCACATGCTCTCGGCCACGGCAGGATTTCGGCTATGGATATGGAAGGACTCGATCCAAAACACTCTCCAGCAGCTCCAGCAGCTAGGCAAGAACAACACCTCCAAAGTCAGGCAAGCTTCATCTGAAAACTCTCTAGGAATCGCTGACAGTGAAAACTCGAGCATAAGTTATCTCCAGCAGCTAGGCAAGAACAGCACCTCCAAAGTCAGGCAAGCTCCATCTGAAAACTCTCTACGAATCTCTGACAGTGAAAACTCGAGCATAAGTTCTCTAGCAGCGAGCTCCTCAGGCCAGGAAATCCCGGACAGTGGCTGCCTCGTGATGCCGCCATTCTCGCCTTACTCGGCCACAGTTCCATGGCACACTGGAACCCGAGCTATTCTCTCGCAGATCTTTCCAAAGTATGGGAACTACTGCGGACCAAACTGGTCGAGCGGTCGACAAAAAGGATCACTGGTTTGGGACGTACCTCCGGTGGACTGGCTGGATTACTGCTGCTTCAAGCACGACGTTGGCTACGACAGCCATAGCCAGGAAGATCTCTACAAGGCCGACTTGGAGCTTTTGGAGTGTTTGCGAAGGATGCCGCGAGAGAGGCTAGGGCCACACAATCCGAGTGGATTTGTGCGGGAGTTCTATCGAAGCGTGTGCACTCTGGGTAAGAATGATTTTTTTTTCATCCTGAAGATAGAACCAAAAAAACTATGAATCTTTGTTTTGGAAATCAGGACTGGAGCGGTTTCTGATACCGTACAGAAGGACGATACTGAGGCAGCAGCGTAGAGTCAAGTGATCTCTAGGAAATGGACTTCTAGGATATTCCACGAACAGATTCAGCATATCCTTAGACCCTTATTTTTACTGTTAAGTGCACTCATTTGGTCCCTTTAATAATCATGGTGGACAATGTTTTCTTTTTTGTTATCTCTACCTTTACCTGATGAATACAATAATTTCTTTCAAACTATAATCAGGCATCTCAAACATCAGACAGAGCTCCATCAAAGAATTTGAGAATAGGGTATATATATAATTTGACAACAAGAGGTTAAGTTCGTCATCTCATCTCCTTTTTTTTCTCCATCTATCTGGACAGATTTGTACGGCAGTGGCGATAGACCAGACCAATCACCCGCTAAAAACCATGCAATCCCGAGAAACTGTGTCAAATCCTTCCCATCACTCGATCCAACAAGAAGAAAAAAAATTGTCAGAGAGATCTCAAGACTTCTAGAACATTCCAAGAAATGGATTCGGCATATCCTCTGAATTTTATAATATTTTTGCTTAAAAAGATTAAGAGCAGAATATTATATAGATATCCTGATTGGTAGACTATTCATAATCTATATATAAAAAAGACTCTCCAGCAGCACATCTAAAACTGTTTATGCTTGCAAATAAGTTTTACCACAAAGTTTGTATACTGTTTGAACAATGAACAGTAACTTTCTAAGTGTTATGTTTCACTCTCTCTACTAAGGCTTTATTCTGGCTATACACGTAATGGATCAAAGGAGTTACATCTCAAAGGTATATACTAATGGATAATTATTATTTACGAAACCATCCACGAATTTCTAACCATTTCCTGGCATTCCTAACCAAGAGATGTTATGAGCTATCAGCTTTCCAACTTGACACATCCAAGAACACAAGTTATGCTTTGAAATTTTGAGAAAGCACTAGTCAACTACATGGAGTGAGGAAAACTCAAAGGGGTGGCAAGTTTTGGAATTTAGTTGCCAAGAGAGGAAACCTGTCAACAGCCTAGCATTTGCTGGGCAATTTCTAGTGTAATATGATGTTCTAAAGTTCTAAATCTTTTTTCCAGACATCTCAAACATCGGAGTTCTATCAAAGAATTTGAGAATAGTGTATATATAATTTGACAACAATAAAACAAGAGGTAAGTTCGTCATCTCATCTCTCTGGACAGATTTGCACGGCGGTGGCGTTAGACCGGAGAGCACCACCTCGGACACACACTTCACTCCGCTAAAAACCACGCGATCCCCAGAAACTGTGTGTCAAATCCTCCCATCGCTCGATCCAAGAAGTAGGAAACAAAGAAAAAAATTATCCGAGAGATCTCACTGCTTGGTCGTGGCCTCCGCCGCCGCCGCCGCCGCCACCGCGGCAGTCCTCTTGCTTTTCTTCGAAGAACCGCCGCCACCACCATTACCTCCTCCGCCGCCGCCACCCCCGCCGCCGCCACTGGCGGACGATTTGGAGGACTTGGCCTTGGGCGGCTTGGAATCGTCGTCGCTGGCGGTGGCGGGAGTGGCGAAATTGGTGACGGCATTGGCGCCCCTCATGGATCGGTTGGCGTTGTCGTAGGCCTCGGCGGCCTCCTCGGCGGTGTCGAAGGTGCCCAGCCAGATCCGGCGCTTCTTCCATGGATCCCTAATCTCCGCCGCGAACTTACCCCATGGCCGCTTGCGAACGCCCCGGAAGTGGCACGACGAGGATTCGTTCTTGCTGCTATGGCTGCTGCTGCCACCTCCAACCCCGCCACCGCCAGCGCCCCCTTTGCTCTTCTTGCTCTCGCCATGATCCATGACTAGCTGCTACCACTACTGATCACACGCGATGCTAGCGCCCCTGCTGCGGCTCCCCCATGGCTCCTCATCAATCAAACGCTTGGCGGCGATCGTGGCGGCGGCGGCAGTGGAGAGGAGGAGGAAGAGGGCGGGCTCCGAGACTCGGCTCTCATCCAACGCTGCTTTGCCGCCGCCCTAGAATGCACCATGGAACATTCCGTTAGCGTTTCAAAAATAATATTCCGTCGTTCTATTAGCTTCCAAACCTTTAATCTTTTAAATGAGCATCATTTTCACTTACTGCCACGTGTGCCCTAAAACTAACAACTTCTGCCACGTGTGCCCTAAAACCATCCTGTTGCCACGTGCGCCCTAATTGCATCTATATACACACTCTTTTAGGGTTGTTTTGGAGGAGGGAGTGAAATGGGCCGACTAGCGGAAGAGGGCATCAAGCAGTTTGCCGTGAGCGCCTTTGGCGAGGCTACAAAGCCGGAGCTGCTGGGAGCCATCTGCCTCGGTCTTCGGATCCCGGCAACACTGAATCGGCGGTAAGTCTTTGGGTTCTTTGTTCTGCCATTTGAAATGGGAGCTGATTCTCCACCAGTGCAAATTTCTGGCCACGCGATTGCGTCGAGAGAACTTGAGCGCTCTCGTTCTCGCTGGCATGCCTCCCGACGAGCGAGCAGACGCTATTGACCAATTTGTGAGCTACGACGTCAATATTTTGGTCACAACGGGTGCTTGGCCACAGGATTTACCCGTGGAAAGTGTAAGCTCGCTCTTCCTTCCTTTTCCTTTCCCTTTCTTCTCTTCTCCTCTTGACTTACGTGGTTTCCCACCAGGCGGAAGTGGTCTACATGTACGACTTTCCCGAGAGCAGCGACTCCTACGTGAAGCAGATTGGGGAGTGCGACAAACCTGGCGTCCGACAGGTACTCTCTTTCCGAATTCTCTTCCAATCGGCTTCCAAATGGTTCTTGGGAACAGGCCTTGGTGATCACGTTTGTTCGAGATTTCCAAGACTCGTGGCGGGAGCGTCTCGAGGCCGAGTGCTGCACCCGTATTGAGCCTCTCCCTGAGCACATCACCGGCCTCTACCGCCGCTGCTTTCCTATTGTGGTGACCCCTGCGGCCTGGAACTCCATTCAAAAGCTGGCCAAAAAACACGGTTTGCTGTAAAGGGTAGCGTTGCAAATTGTTACGAAGAGCTTAAGTTGTAAGGCAAGGGACGATAAAATGCCTTTGCGACTTTGAAGAAGAGGAATTCTGCAATTTCAAACATCTGATTCACTTTTCAATCAAAATCCCTACCACCTTTACCACCTTTACACCCTACCACCTTTAGAGAGAAGGCTTAATTGGCCAAGGATAATATAAAAAACACATGTACTCGAGAAAAAGTTCTCATTATATCATATACAGCTCTTTGGTTCTACGTAAGCACCGCCTTCCGGGCTTCTTTTCGCAGCGCATTCGCCCGGATCAAGCTCCCGATCGTGTTCACCGCAAGCTTGATATCATCCAGTGGGTTGCCGGGCACCACCGTCTTGTAGAGATAGCTGTCGAAGGTCATCTTCTGGACGTACTCGTCGGCACAGAGCTCTACAAACGCCTCGCGAGCGGGATTGGATCGGTAGAAAACCTTCTGGAGGATGTCGAGGACCTTGTAAGTCGGCCAGTACTTGGTGTCCCACTTCTGGAGGTAGCTCCTCAGATCGGCCTCGTTGATCATGCGGACACCCTTCTCGGACCCCTCCACGATAGCCTCGGCGCACATCCTCCCAGACTTTGCCGCGAAGTAAATCCCCTCGCCCGAGCACTTGGTCACGTAGCCAGCCGCGTCTCCCACCAGCGCTACTCGGTCTCGGACTCTCCTCGGCCTCGGGTGCTCGGGTATCGGGTGAGCTTCCACCCGGATGATCTTCCCCCCGGCAATCTTATCTCTAGCTCTGTGCCTGGTCGCAACCTGATACTTCTTGATGGCTGGCTTGTTGATCACGGTCCCGGTTCCCACAGCGACGTGATCGCATTTTGGAAAGACCCAGCCGTAGAAATCCGGAGAAACGTCGTCGCCCACGTACATCTCGGCCAAGTTCTCGTAGTACACCATCTTGTCGTCGGGGATCTTGATCCTCTCCTGGAAGGCGATGGCGTAGTCGTAGTCGCCAGCGTCTATGTCCTTGGCGACACGGCTGTTCGCCCCGTCGGCTCCAATCACCGCGTCGACTTCCAAGGTTGCGGGAACTCCCACAGAGCTTCCTGGCTTGTAGAGATTGTAGTGGAGAACGTAGGGAGCGTTGGCGTCGCTGGGCATTTCCATCCGGAGGAACAGGCCATTGACGAGATTGGCCCCGAAAGAGGCGGCTCTCTCGCGGAGATAAGAATCCAGCACCTCCCTTCTCACCATCCCAATGTATTCGTTCTCGTTGAGGGTCTTCCCCACGTCCACTGCCACATTAGAGGGCGAGATCATCTTCATCTTGGTCACTTTCCTGTCGATGATGTCGAGTGGAAGATCGAATTCCCCCACCATGCACAGTGGAATCGCCCCTCCACACGGCTTAGCATTGTCCATCTTGCGCTCGATGAGGAAGGTCTCGATCCCGTTCTTGGCCAGGGTCTCGGCGGCGCATCCCCCGGCCGGCCCGCCCCCAATCACGGCTACGCGGAGCTTGCGATTCCCTAGCTTCTTGCTCCCTGCCGCCGCCAAGATCCGGAGCCCCGGACGGGAATTTCGCGTCAGCGATGGCGTCGACGCCGCCAGGAAGAGCTTCGATCTGCCGGAGAGGCATGCCGCCGAGGAGAGATGTGACGATCTCACGGAAATCTGGCAAGACTGCAGCCGATTACCTGCATTGCCCGCGCCCTGCTCAAGCGATTGCTCGCAGACCCGCCGCGCCGATGGCGTGCTGAGAATTCCTTGAAGCGCCGACGCCATAGCTCGAGCAAAGAGGGCAAAATACTATCCACGCATTTGTATCCGCACATCTAGGGCACACGCGTCACCATCCCGTTCGCAGCAACAAACCCGGGTACACGTGGCGGAATACCACTCGCAAGTCATGTGGGCCACGCGGCGAAATCCCAGTGGCCCAATTTGCAATCCCGTGCATGGAGGCAAAGCTTCACGGGATGGATTCCTCCCGCGTTGGCCGATTCCGCGACCCCGTTGGATGGAATATCCCCGTGCCTGACGGCGGCGGCGGGCCGCAAAGCAAGGTGTGGGATCCACGTGTCACTTTCATCAGTCACCAGACGGCGGCCAAGGCGGCGGCCGGCCTCGTGTACGTCCCAGCGAATATCCCGCTCTATCAATCCGGGTGATACTTCTTAGGGCTTTCTCTCTCGTATAGCCGACTCTAGAGCTCCGAGAGATCGTTTAAATGTGTATGGCGGCTGGGTAGATTGGATAGAACGAGGGCCTATTTTCCTCTTGTTCTAGGCGGAGGCGGCGGCTAGGCGGCGAGGGATCTCTCTCCCGATATATAGTCTAGGAAATCTTCCCTCCTCTTCCACTCTCTCGCGATCTTTCTTTGTTTCCCGGCGGAATTTGCAGCCGATCGATCGATCTCTTGGCTCCTCCTCCTCCACTCTCTCGCGATCTTTCTTTGTTTCCCGGCGAAATTTCGAGTCGATTGATCGATCTGTTCGCGTTCTTGTGAATATTTCGGGGCGGAAAATCTCCATCGGACGATCGACAATGGCACCTCCTCGTGCCGGCAGCAACGATCGATCATCGTCCCCGGGCGGCGGCGGCGGCGGCGCCGAGCAGCACTTTCGGGGCGTGCGGAAGCGGCCGTGGGGGCGCTACGCGGCGGAGATTAGGGATCCATGGAAGAAGACGCGGGTGTGGCTGGGGACGTTCGACACCGCGGAGCAAGCCGCCAGGGCCTACGACAAGGCCGCATTCTCGCTGCGCGGTGTCAAGGCCAAGACGAATTTCCCGTGCGTCGGCAGCGGCGATCCGCAAGAGGAGCGCCAGGATCGCCGCCAGGATCGCCGCCAGGAGGAGGAGGCGGCGGACGAGGAGCATCAGCGGCACCGACACAAGCGGCGGCAGATCGCCGGTGTGAAATCGCCGCCATCGCCGCCGTCCCCAGTGTCGGTCGTGGACGATTCTAGATCCCGCGCCGCCGTGGCGGCGGCGGCGGCGGTGGCGTCCAAGACGATCGTCACGTCTCTCAAGCACTACTTGCTCGCCGCCGCCCAGGACAATCGAGGTGGTCACAGCAGTGGCGGCGACTCCTCTTCCTCCAGCTCCGGATCGTCGAGCTCGGGCACGGAATCGACCGAGGAGGACGATCAAATCTCTTCCTGCCCCAAATGGAACAGTAGGCCCTTCTGGGATCTCAATTTGCATCCATGGGAGCAGCGAGTTCGTGCGTGAGCTCCGCCGAATTTTTTTTTTTTTTTTGTTCTTCCAGTTCCAGTTTTTCTTTTGCTTGTAAAAAAGGTAAAGCTAAATAGAAAAAACGGATATTCGTAAGGAATATAATGTGGGTTTAAACTGACCCGTTCATTTGAACGGCTGGGATCTGCCACGTAGCCCTGAAAACAGAGGCTAGAGCCCTAAAAGGCTGACGAGTTTTCCCATGCTTGGCCTCGCCTCTGGGTTGCTCTGGAGGCACAGCATTGACATCTGGATCATCCTCCTCGCTTCCATCTCCGGGACGCCTCGAATTCGCGGATCGATCCATCTCTCGATCGCCAATTTCTGGTCAGCGAGCTGGATCATCTCCTCTGGATTGCTTTGGAGCTCCCTCCCAGATGTGATCTCCAGCACAAGAAACCCAAAACCCAGAACATCCATCTTGTCAGTGACACCCTCACAATCCTGTTTGGATATAATCTCCAAATCCTCCTGCGATCCAGTTCCAGAGATGGATTTCTTGCTCCTCCTGATCTTGCAAGAGTGGAATCCAGCCAGCTTTGGAGTGTAATCCTCTGCCACCCACACATTCTCCAGCCTCACACCCAGATGCAAGACCTGGAATCCCAGGACATTCCTGGCATCATGGAGATGATCTAGTGCCAGTGCCAGGCCCTTGATGATCTTCACTCTTTGCTTCCATCCCAAACTCCCATCCAAAACCATGCCTTTGAGGCAGCCTCTCTTCTCCAGTGGCATGACAAGAGCATGCAAGAATGGGCTTGTGCAAAATCCCAGAAGCCTCACAATGTTTGGGTGTGGAGACCACAGTGCTGTCATCCTATCCTTGAAATCGCCCTTGCCACACTCCACAAGAACCTCGCTCCTCCCAAGAACACCCTTGTACACCACAAGCTCTATAAGATCATTTGATCCATCGCTGGAGCTTGGAACTCTCATCCTGGTGACCACCTTGTGGAAGCAGCCTGTGATGAGCTCAATTCCCTTGGGATCAAACTCCATGGGCTGTTCCAATCTGCTCAGCCTTGCTCCCATGGAGGAGGTTTGCGAATCAAGCAAAGCACAGATGGTGGATTGATTGGGGAAAGGTCGCGAATTCTATCACACGCAAATGGTGGCTCTTTGGATTCTTAGCCATTTGGACTGGTTTGTCCTCTTGCCTGATCTGTTCTTGTTTGGAGTGGAGAACAATCCAACATTCATTTTATCTTAAATTTTTCATGGGTGTTTAGCTTTCTTGAGCTCCATGGCTCTAATCTATCTGACCTTTGCTTGTCTGAATCTCCTTGGCCATAGCCAATGAGCTTTAGAAAACTCAAATGGATGTACCATCTCCACCATTGCAATTGCTGTCCACAAACACCAGGCTTTTAAAGAGAGCACTGCCACTGCCAGTTTTTTCCTTTTTTTTTTTTTTTTTTTTTGAGAGAACAACACAATTGCGATGGATGGTCACCTGACATTCACATTCATAACGCGAAGTACTCCATACAGAGATTACATCGCCATAGAAAAGCTAAACAATATACATGATTTGTTTTTTGTTTTCCTCCTGCTGCTTAGCTCATCACTCAAAAAATGATGGTACTGTATACCCAAAAAGAAGAAGAGAAGAAAAAGAATCATACTAAGAAAACATACGGAAATCGGTATCTTTCTCTCTCATATATACCAAGCTCCAATCGAAAGCTGTGATCTTACTCGTCGTCATCAATCACGCGATGAATTCTCCGGTCCTACACTGCCCGACTTCAATCTCCACGTTCCTCTTGTCGGAGTTTATGACTCTACAGCAATGCCTTCTAGGGGCCTGGAACATAACAAGAGAGTCGAGTTGAGAGCTTGGAAGAACTTGGTGATCGTCAAGAGTTCTTACCGTGTGCCAGTTCCCTTCCGTGCGGTCCCTGTAGACCATGATCGAATCGATCCCTCCAGGAGACGCCATCTTCCAGCGGCAATCACCCCTTCTCTTGGTTTCCCGCGCGTACGTGCTGTAACTCCTGCTCGAGTTCTTGTGTCCTACGTTGTCCATGTAAAAGATGGTGGGCTGCTCGCACGGGTTCCGGGAGATCTCCCGCGTGCTAAACGGGAAGCCACTGTCCTCGGTCCTGCGATACCAACTTATGAACGTCCGAGCCGGGAGTTCCAGCTCCCGGGGTGGCAGGATCCCGCGATAGACTTGGACCGCGTAGCCCCACGAAACCGAGAAGGACCATTTCCTCCACTTGTCGTAGCAGATCGACTGCTGGAGGATCCCCGGCGCGTCGACTTTGATGGATCGCGAGAGGTGCTTGAGCGCCTGGACTTGCGTCATGTTTGGAAAGACGGGGTGGATCACGTCCAAGTGATGGATCGAGATGAGTGGGCTCACTGGGTGTGCCGAGAGCAGTCCGGAGGCGTCGCCATAGATGTCAAACTGGAAGACAAAAAAATCGAAAGTTCGAAAGATCGAGTGAGAGAAATTCTTTGCTTGGAAAGCATCAGGCATGATCAGGACAAACCAAACACGCAGTTTTTTCTTGAAACAGCCGAGACGTGTGAGGATTCATCACGTCATGCCGCTCAACCACCAGGGAGAAAGAGATGCGCGTCCAAAAGACGTGAATTGCGAATCCGAACCGACCCGACCAAAATGCCGCACGTCGGCATTTGCTGCAAGAAAGAAGTCCTCCAGCAAACCATGCTTAAAACAGCGCCAGTGCAAAATTCTGACAGCAACCATCGTCATGACACACGCAAGAAACGCACTCAGACATGCCAAGAAAAAGCCATGCGAGGAAGACACACCCACGCCAAGAACACGGTACTTACCTGATGAAAACCGGGCTCTTTGACGAGAGGAACCCCCAATTCAGCCATACACGCTTGTATCCGATCGTCGCTCCCGAAGAGATATGGATACCTGTGCAAGCATCCGTCCTGCATTCGCTCCAGAGCTCTGGCCAGCGGATAGCTGATCGCGAATCCGCCACCACCGTAGGCCATGTTGTAGGAGAAATGGAGGTTCTGGGTGTGACTCTCGGAGCTGGATCCAATGTAGTAGTACTTGGTGTGATCATACTTGGAGAGGAGCTTGACGAGGTTCTCCGGGATGAAGATGGTGTCGTCGTCGCCCATGACGAACCAATGCACGTCCGGGAGGCCAATCCGGAAGGTCTCGGAGACGATGCGCGAGATTCGAATGGCGGCCCGAGCGCCCATCTTGTTGGTGTAGTTGAATGCCGCGGTGGAGGAGGAGATCCGGAAGGGGGGATAGTCCGTCTTGGACCACTTCCGCCTCACCTTCTTGTCCAGCCACACGAATCCTCGCATCTGCGAGGACTTCCACCATAGCTTGACGTACTCGCGGCGCCGGTCCCAGAGGCGAGACGATGCAGCGATGCCAAACACGATATTGTAAAGGGTGGTGGCGGTGCTGGTGCTGGTGCTGGTGTGGATCTCTGTTTTGGCGATGGTGGTCGATGGAATCTCGACTTGGGCAGCATCGTGAGGGCCGATCTTGGGGACCACCTTGGCCGGAATCGAAGAAACCAACGCGGAATCACCCGCACTGGTACTGCTACTAGTACTACCACTCGCTTGACTGGCGGAAGTTCTAGAGCCGGAGGCTTGCTGCAGGGACTTGCGAGGAGAGGTGGAGCTGTAGCGCTGCTTTTCCTGATCCAGATTGAGAGTGAATCGCGAGGATGCGGCGGTGGTGGCATTGCTGCTGCCCAGGAGCGCGAAGTTGTATGGCATGATTCTGGAGGATGTGGTGGATCCGTGCGAGGACGACGGGATGCACGAGGCCATCATGCTTGCGCTGCTGAGGAGGAGGAGGGCGACGTAGAAGAAGCTGCAAGCGCAAGCGGCACACACAACCAGCGCGAGCTTGCTCATTCCCAGGCCAAGAGCAGAGTGTTCCGACAGCTGCCTCGTCAAGCTCTTCATCTGCTGCTGCTTCTTGTAAGAATCCATGCTCATCGTGTTGCTGTCCTTGTGATTGATCGATCCAGCCCGGCACTACAAACCTCTTACAAGCTTAGCCACCGATCGATCGTGTCGCCACCACCATAGCCGGGACGAATCCATCTGCCGGTTCCCTGCAGCAGCATTTGCTTTTTATCAGCATTGGATTTCCCGGCGCATTGCTATTCATGAACTCCTCCAGAGCGAGACTATTTCTGCCTGAGCTGCTGCCATTCCCTGCCATAGCATTGCTTCTCTAACACCAGGAGGGAGGGAGGAGAACACATCATCGTTTTTTCACGCATCCAGTGAGCTCCTAGAATTTAATTCCGAGGCCCACGAACAAATCTCTGTGGAAGAGAGAAAGAGCCCAAGAGATCCCAAAGATTTGGGGGTTTCTCAAGGAGAGCGATGGAAGAAAGAAAGAAGAGACCCCACTGCGAAACAGCCTACACTACACTACACAGACACGCGCTTCTTTCACTAAACACCACTTATGCGCAAATCTAATCGCGCGGGATATTCCGTCGGTCCGCGGTGATGACCGCTGCCGGCTGTCTAAATGCGCGGCTGCGGTTGTGGGGGACAACCGTGACGCGTGTCGGCGGGGTGTACGGTAAGGATGGGCCGATTCGTCCATGGCCCAAACTCTGCCATCGCTCGTACGCGGTCTAGTAGCTCACAAATTCCGGGCTCGCGACTGCCAGGTGGCGGTCAGAGTATCAGCCGCCAGCCTGGCACTCGCCGGCTTTTTCTTGCCCTTTGGAAAGCTGCCGGAATATCCACTGCCAGGCCAATAAATGATTGATAACAAAGGGGAGGGAATCTTTCGCAAGCTAAGCTTGGAAGAAAATTTAGAAACCTTTACCCTTCCCTCCCGTTAAATCTTGTTCTTTGCTTACCTGGCAATGACGTGGCATCAGGCTTTCTTTTTGTTTTATCTCCTCTCCCGTCCGTCGCCGCTGCGCACTCCCGCCCGCCAGCTCGCCCTCACGGCTCCCGCCCGCACTCCCACCGTCCCCGCACATCCGCCCGCGCCCAGCGTGCGCCCTAATTAGTTCCGCGTGGCCACAGCAACACTTAGCCAAATTTCAATCAGCGCGCGCGCCTTGATCACTATTGATATAGCAATATTGAATCATTTATCAATTTTGTTCTTCCATTTGTCTTGAAAATATTTGATAAAGGCTATTTTATTTTGAAAATCCACCTCAAAATATTCGATAAATTGTTTGATCTCAGCTTGTTTTTCATAATATTATCATTATGAAAAACTGCATAAATTGAATGATACATAATATCTCTGAGACGTTTTTATATTTCCATCTTAAGATTTCACCTTATGAATAATATGTTTGAGCCAATTCCTCCTTACATGCCAAATACATAATAGAATTTGACAATCAAATGTAGCTCTATATAAAAAAAAACATTTAAATTATATCATATCAAATTAATTATCTTATAGCATTAATCTCTGCTTCAACATCATCAATCATTATCGCACATAGTTTTCAATTTAACATGTGTTCTAAAATTCATTTTTTAAGAGTTATCATCTAATTCTTCATATGTTCTCCTTTCTCACTAAAAGTTAAAATCCATGCAATTGGAATATCATTTCCATGATAATCAAAAGTAAGCATGGTGTATAATGGGAACTGTAAATTATTAAATATTATTCACTTAAAAATGAATGAAAATTTTACCTTGTAGTGATTAGTTCCAAAAGTTGCATCAAGACTTAATAAATTATTATTTGAAAAGTCCACCATCTTTTGTAGTTGCCAAGTTGTCTAAATCCCAATAGTAAAACAATCTTTACCTCAATCACTTTCCTAATAAAAAAATACTTTCTTGGGATTTGTGTTCTTTTAAATACATACACTCTATGCATCATTCTCATGTAATTGATAAGTTGAAAGCAAATACTACCTATGCAAATTATTGATATCTTACATAGTTAAAAAATTATTTTAATAAAGAGGCTCATTAGTTGACTTGTTCCTTCCCACAATTTGTATATATTCTGATTTGATGTGAAATCCTGCTGAATCATATGAATCACCCAATGTCAAATATTTGTTGAAAGCTTCTGAGGAAATAATGACTTTCCTCCAATCAAATCAAGTTGACCATAACAAGAAATCCCATTTTTATCACAATGCTCTCTATGATAATATGCAATATGCACATAATTAGGTTATTTGTAAAACTGTTTGACCAAAAAATTGCAAATATAACCCTGCTTATTAGAACTTCGACTTTGTCAACTTCCAAGTCTTGACTTTGGTGTAAATTCAACAATCATAATAGAGAATGTTTCATGAGCATCTTGTTTTCTATATTCACACCAAGTTAGTAATTATATTTTGTTAAAAAGATATACCTGATTAATGATAAAAAAATTGTGTTTTTAGGTCATTTCAAGGATCACGATTTTTGTTAAAAAATCGCCAAAATTTATTGAAATTTGGCTAAATGTTGGGGCTGTGAAGTAATTAGGGCGGGCGGATGTGCGGGGGCGGGTGGGAGTGCGGAGGGCGAGCGGGCGGGCGGGAGCCGCGGGCGGGCGATAGCCGCGGGCGGGAGTGCGCAGCGGCGACGGACGGGAGAGGGGAGTGCGCTGGAGATAAAACAAAAAGAAGGCCTGATGCCACGTCATCGCCAGGTAAGCGGAGAGAGAGTGAATCAGGATGTTTAACGGGAGGCTTTACCCTTGTTCTATATTTATTGCGCGTTTATATGTTTGGTGTTCTTGGAAATTTTCCCCCTTGACGAGCGAATTCTTTCACCGGACACAAGCGCAGCACCACAGAAAAGAAAGATGGATCATCATAGTCTTCAATGTTTGGTGGAATCGATCAGAGTCTGTCCAGAGGCAAAAGAGAAAATTAAGCAAAAAGCATTGTAGCTATGGTACCAATTTTGTTGGTGTGGATGATTCACTGAAACGTACTCTTCCTAAAGTCGTGCTGGGCTTGACAAGACTGAGCTGCTTTCACGGCAGCTTTAGCCTGTGTGGGATCGATTCGATTGCACAGGCAACAGGCACAAACTTTGCCTTGATTCGCACGTAAAACAGAGGAGACGCTTAACTGGAAACAAACTTTCGAGGATTAGTTCAACTTCACGGGCTGTTTCTGTTTCTTACCGACGGTAGGACGATCCTGGTCTCTCCACCAGATGTGTACAAAGAATGCTTACAAGACACAGTGTTTTCTCCTCTCTTTTTGTTTCTCAAGCGGTCTCGATCGAATTGCTGGCGTAGCTTGTCTAGATGTTGTGATATAAAGATCACGGCCAGGAAAACTATGCGAATTCTGGGATCCCTTTTTTCTTCACGAGGCAGCATTCGGCTGCATGGATAAGAAGATCAAACTCGTTGTCATACTGGTCACTGAAAGAGTTTTGACGCTTCAAGTCCCAGAACATAAGCGTCCAAGCCGGCTCGACACTAGAAACAGAGAAACGCATGTGGAGTCACTTATTAGCATCGATGCAGAAAAGGATAACAGTCGAAACAAGTGGAAGCCTCGCAGACAAAACAAGACAAGAACTTACGAAAGATAAAACACAAACAAGCATTGTGCAATCCAAGCTCTAGAACAAGAAAAACTTGGTGACGAGGGAAATAAACATCAAAAACCAAAGCAAACAAGAGAAGAGGAAGCTTACGAGTTTGTGCGGATAGCGGTGAGCGCGAGGAGACAGAAAAGGCCGAGTTTTTTCCACAAATAACTCTGGGCATTTTGCTTCCAGCAAAGGACATCACAGAGCATTCTTTGCAGCGGTGTGGCTCACGAGATCCGGAAACTCTTGCGAAATTTCCACCGATGATTCTGGCCACTTTGCTGGGAGAACAGCTACGTTGCTTTTCGGCAGAGATTGTATTAGCGAATGTGGACGTTCGTTCCACCAACCGCAAGGAGATGGAGGTTTAAGCCAAGTTGTACTACATGAAATCTGTGGTGCAAGACACCAACAGTTCTTTCAGAATAAGCTGGAGAAAATAGTCGAAAGCATGGGGTCCCTCCAAACAGAAAAAGCTAGAATCATCAAAGATCTGAACCTTGATTTTGGGGAACTTTAACAACTTCTGCGACTGTAGGTTTGTTTCGTTTGGTGTCTTTGAATTTTTGCCAGGCTAGTGCTTTAATGAGCGAATCCTTTCACTGGGTCTCTCAGCAGCACCGGTGGACTCAATCAAAGTCTGTCCAAGGAAAACAAAGGAAAAAGCTGAGGAAAAGCAATTCCTATGGAAGAAGAAGGCACAGAGGCTTCTATAGGATGCTTCAAGTTCTTTGTTGGATTGTGAAGCAATAAAACTTCAGTGAAAATTGCTCATTTGATCTCAAAAGAAAGCTTTTAAGAGGGTTTATTAGTTTTTGGTTTTCTTAAGCAAATTTATAAGGGGACTGAAATAGTAATGGATATATCTAAAATATGTTTGGATATTTTAAGATATTCTGTTATTCATTTAGATTAATTTTGTATTTATAATTTATAAACATTCCTAAACACTTCTTAGTATATTCTTTTTTATTCTACCATCTAATGGTTAATATGTAATAATATTAATCTTGATTTATAAATTATAAACATGTTTATAATTATTGATCAATTTGATTATTCAATGACACTTGTAACAAATTATTTAGTTATTAAGTAAAGTAAATTATAAATTATACATTGATTTTATATGTTAAATTTTTGTAAATTTATGTATTATGCCATAAGCAATGTAAAATATGGAGATTAGTTTCTAATTAATATAAAATGCTTTGCCATAATTTACTAGAAACATTAAACTTTAACTTGTTAAAGATTTTATAGTGATAAAAAAAATATTTGTAAAACTCACTATTTTTTATCATCTTCCAATAAACCCAGGTAAATAATTAATCCCCATACTTATTTAGCCGGCACTAACATATTCTATATAAAAGTATTAAAATTTTGTAGTTTGTGGTTATACCTAAAATATGCTTGGATATTTTAAAATATTCTACCCTTTGACTTAATTTTGTATTTATAATTTATAAATTTTCCTAAACACTTCTTAGTATATTCTAATTTATTCTACCATATGTTTTGCAAAAAATATGGTAAGGAATTCTAATGTAAAAATTTATATTTCCTATCAGAGAGGTTTTAGATTCAACTCTTTTAATTAACTAAAGGAATCACACCATATTATAAACCAAGAAAAAGGCAAATACAACCTCTCTTTCTCTTATTTTTCTAGCGTGAGAATGTGCTTGTAAAAGAAATCTAGAGTGGTCATCAGAACCAAATGTGTTAACAGAGAGAGAAACAACGAGTAATCACATTTTTGAGACAGTGGAGGACACACCCTGTAAGTCATCGCATCCGGGAGCAACATCATGTGGCGTTGATCAATGCTCATTCCATGGTGTGTCTCTTGCTTCGATTCCAAGCATATCGCAAAAGTTCTCTCTCTCTCAAACAACGATTGTTTGATCGTCCATACATCCAGGGAGAAATCCTCGGGATCACGAGGTTTGGGTGGCAGACAGCGTTTGGCAAGAGTTTAGTATTCTTTAAACAAGAAGATTTATATTGCTTCTTCTCATTCTCGCATTGTTTGAGACGGATCATCTCGTCGCCGCGTCTGTTCAAGGGAGAACCGATGCCGCTTGGCACGGGGATTTAGGCAAGTTTTTGTTGTCGAATTTTTTCAATCCCTCGTTCCAATTGCGTGTGTTCTTCGCAGAGTTGGAAGAATTTGAACCCCAGATTTCCCATTATAACAGAAAATGGAAAATATAGGAAAGAAAAAAGATTGTTCATGGTTTGTTTGAACCGCGCAGCAGATCAAAAGAGGAGAAACTTAACAGCAGCATTACTTCAACTTCACGAGCTCTTTGTTACCGACGAAAGGACGATCCCCAGAATATTTACGTAAAAAAAGGGAGAGGACACAGTGGGTTTTTCCTCTTTTTTGTTTCTCACACGAACATTGCCCGTGACCACGCCATGGCCGTGCTCATTTGCTTGCCTCGAAACGCTCTTTCCCAATCGCGTACCTTGTGATATAAAGCTCTGCAGTGAACATCACGGCCAAAACAATGCGACTATGCCTAAGGAAGGTTAAGAAGATCAAACTTTGTGTTAGAGAGGATGGAGGTATGCCAAGAAGATTCCCAAATGCCAGAGCAGGCATCCTGAGAATATTCTACATGGCGATATCTCTGGGCCCATTCATAATCAAAGTTACAAAATCATAGTTGTGTATCGTTCTCGAGCGCTTTCTTCCTTTCTTTTTTTCGTCTAACTCTTCCATCCAACAACAAACTTTTGCAAGTACCTCAAAAGGAAAAACGGAGACAGGAGCATTACTTCCAGCTTCACGAGCTCTTTGTTGGACGATCCTGGTCTCTCCCAGATGTGTACAAAGAATATTTACATAAGAAAGGGACAAGACACAGTCCTCTTTTTCGTTTCTCACACGAACATTGCCCATGGCCGCGCTCATTTGCTTGCCTCCACCCAATCTAATTGCTGGCGTACCTTGTCTAGATGTTGTGATATAAAGCTGCAGTGAACATCACGGCCATTGAGGCGGCAAACAATGCGACTATGCCCGCTGGACTCCCTTCTTTCTTCACGAGACAGCGTTCACCTGCAAGGAAGAAGAAGATCAAACTCACTGAAAAAGTTTAGAGCTTGCCTGTCCAGGCCATGACGCCCAAGGACGCTCCAAGTCCCAGAACATAAGCGTCCAAGCCGGCTCCACTAGAGACAGAGAAACACATGTGGATTACCATCGAGACACAAAAACAATGGCAAAACAGTAGAAAACAGTAGACGCTTCACGGACAAAACAAGATAAGAACTTGCAAGGCACAAACAAGCATAGCATTCAAACTAGGAAAGAACGCAGGCAACAAAAGAACTTAAAGAAAGGTGACCAGGGAAACAAACTTACAAGCAAGCAAAAGAAGAGAAGCTTACGAGTTTAGGCGGATAGCGGCGAGCGCGAGGAGGCAAAAGAGGCCGAGTCCAGTCCGAAAGAATCCCGCATCGAGGCTGTCATCTTTCACCCACACCGCGATGCAGTATCCCAGATGGAACGCTGCGAAGGCCAGAGTAAGAACCGGAAGAAGGAACACGTACTCTCCTCCTTCATCGTCGCCTTCTCCACCACCATCGCCACCACCATCGCCATCGTCACCACGACCTCTTCCACCGCCACACGGGCCTCCATTGCTCTTCTTGAGTGTCTTCTTATCGCAAGTTCCCATCCCGTTGATCATGTCCACTGCCCAGGGACTGTATCTCATCTGTAAGTTCGTCCTCACTCCAAAGTCTCGCAAGTCCCTGTCCAGGAGCTCCGGCGGCATCGCTGAATCATCGTCCCGGAAGCAAACGATGAGCTTGGAGCTCTCCTGATCAACTGCCGGCACTAGAGGCGGCAGCACCATGAGATCCTCCAGCAAACCCTGGCTACCTGTCAGCTGAGAGTAGAAATTCTTGGACGATCTCGACGCTGGCGAGTGGAATATGTGCCTGTGGACACCGGCCTGCCACCAGTAGACGTGCGCCAGGCACTGCGCCATTCCAATGACATACAGATCGATCGCAGCCCTGGTTTCTCAAAGATCTCTCACGCGCTCATTCCCGGAGATTCTTCTATCTGGCAGCGATCTGGGAATGCGGTCGAGCACGGTTGATCGTACCTCATCGATGCCGCGTCGCGGCTGCCATGGCTCGCTTCGCCCTCGTGAAACCCTAGAAATCCAGAATACTCTTTTTTACATTAAAATTTACATCCGCTAGCGTGGCACTAACGTCCGTTCCATTGGTCCACGTCACTTCAAAATTGCAGGAGAGAGGCAAGCTTCGGAATTCTTCCAACTCTGCGAAGAACACACACGCAATTGAAACGAGGGATTTTTTAGAAGACATTCGAGAACAAGGAGATGATTAAAAACTTTCCTGACTTTGAAGATCCCCGTGCCGAGCGGCATCGGTTCTCCGCGGAGACAGACCCAGTGAAGACATGATCCGTCGTCTTCTCGAACGATGCGAGAATGAGAACGCTGTTTTTCATCTTCGCCACCCAAACCTGGATGTATGGATCAAACAATCCTTGCGAAAAAAGAGAGAGAGAACTTTTGCGATAGTACTTACCCTGTAAGTCATAACGTCAGCCCATTGTGTACTGAATCTCTTTCACTCCGCGCTGCTTCTATTCCAAGCACCTCGACTGTCTCAAAGATGTGATTACTCGTCATTTCACTCCCGTCAACACCTTCGGTTCCCATGACCGCGTCTAAGGTTTGAAAACAATCACACTAGAAAAATAATAAAGAAAACCCTAAGAGAGTTGTATTTGCCTTTCTCCTCTCGCTCAACAGTTTCCCTTGGTTGCGAGAACGCATATTATCGTTTACCTTCACGATGACCTTGGGAAGCATGTTTTGAAGTGAATGACGAGCATTTTCTTGCGATCAAGCTCAGGTGTTAACAAAATGCTTCGATGGTCGTTCACCTTAACATGCTGCACACAAGGCATATTAGAACAAGTTTTAACTGAACGCACACAAAACTATACCTGTTCATAGATTTGATTTAAGGAACTTAACAACAGCTTCTGCGACTGTTTCAGCTCTGATATCAAGCTGGAGGGAGTAAATTCTCTTCATGCAGCCACGCCGCAAGACCATCTTTATGCTCTTCCGTGAGAAATATTCCATTGTACAAATATGTCACTTACATCTCCAAAGTGCAGCTTTCTCAATATCTCTTTGATACGAGGAACACCGAGAGCAATATGTTGACAAAAAAGCACAAGAGCATAGTTAGATAAATAAGATTACAACGAAAAGGACTTACTCATACTAGCCACTCCAGCAAAGTGAAAAGTTTTCAACGTCATCTGCATTCCAGGTTCTCCAATACTAAATGGTTCCAACAATGTTTTTGTGGTACCGTCTAATGCACGTGTTCAGAAAGACCTGCAATAGCGCTCATATATGACTGTTCCACGAACCTCCAACTAGCATTTGCTGGCAACATTTTCATCGTCCAAATTACCAGCCTTTTCCTGGTATTGAACTCCTTCAAGAATTTTCTTAGCGCGTTCAAGAAAGCTGGAGCCGCTACCCATGGACAAGCTGCCTGAGAGAACAGATTAGAAACAAATCCAAAGAAGTTTTGTAAGGTACCTTAGCTTACGCAGTCCAGATTCAAGGGCGTTCCGTTCTGAATCTCCATGCTTATGGGATCCTTTGTATCGTCCTCATAGATGCACATATATGCCAGATGATATATGAACTGTACCGTCGTACTGGCATGAAAGATCTTCCAAAGCTTTCATTAAACATCTGGACATGTATCCAGTTTCAGCAGTTTTCACATGCAATGACATGTCAAATTCTGGTCATTTGATGCAAAAGAAAGAGACTTACCACATTATCAGTGAGACCCTTGTGAGTGGCGACCATAGTGTGGAAAATAAATTATAGACCCAAGCAGGTAAAATAATTAATGCCCTTCAGGCCATTTTTTGGCCATTTTTTTTTCAAAATGCTTTAAATGTAGCCATGCTTTAAATGCTTTAAATGTAGCCCTTTTTCTTGGAAAACAATAAAATAAAATATTCTGTTAGAATATATTTTTTCTTTCTTAAGGGATGAATGAATATTCCAAATTTAATGAGCATGGCACTTTTCTCCATGAAGTGTATATTTTTATAAAGAACAAAATCCTTCCTACCTCCAAAGGTCTCATACTGGTAAATGATTATGGAATGGGGGTTTTATAATCTAAGTTAAACATAATATGTACCTAAAATACTCTAGAAATTTTGGAGTTGCTGTATTAAAAACCATCCTCACTAATTAAGTAGATTAAAAATTCATTTGAACCTATATAATTGTTATTCACAAATTTCTGGTTAAAAAGAGATTTTTTGGGGCCAAGTAAAATGGGAATATTGAAGTTTACCACAAACATAAAATTTTCAATTATATATTTTAACATTTTGATATCTTAATATTTCAAAAATTTGATATTTCAATAGTTGACCACCACACATTAGGCTAAAAACATGTAGATAACATTCAAAACACTTATTCATTCATTCATTTTTAAAAGTTTTACAAAGATATGAAACATGAAAGGCAAAAAATCTATAAGTAATTGTAGCATAAAAGAATGTGAGAATGTTAATTTTTTATTACTACTAAAATCCTTATATTACACTCTTATTCATTACCCATCTAGAAATATAAAAACCATTGTCACCATTAATAAAAATGTTTTTGTTATTTTTGAAATAACATTTGAGCAAGAGAAAAAAATAAACAGACAGTATGGTAGAAAGCACAAAAAGTCTACTCTATAGAATTTTCTATAGCATTTATAATTCACTTAATATTATAAATAAAAACATGTTGTTTATTTATTTCCCATTCCTCTTTATATGAGCATGATATATTATAGTAGTGCATCTCTATAATAGTATAAGTATGTAGTATATTTATCTTGTATTATATGATATGAATGATATATATGAATAAAAAAGTTAAATTTATATATAATTTCAAGATTAAAAGGTAATCTTACAAAAAAGCGTACTTGCACGCTTGCATGTGTTTGCTATTATTCTAAATGGTAAACCTGCTAGAGCTTCATATTAATTATGAGCTTCTAGTACCCTAGAGCCTACCAAGATTGATAATTAAGATTCAGTCTATTGCCATATTATAATAAAACCTCATTCTTGAGTATATTAATCAGTAACAAACAATATAGTCAGCAAAGAATTCTTGAGAATTTAATTCTTTTTTGAGTGTTAGAATAGTTAGAAAGAAGTATACTTTTGGTCTTGGAGGATTCTCATTTAATTCTCCACCTCCATCCCCAAACTCAAACAACAATCCACCTTCAACTCCAAGCAATAACTTTCTAGAAGTCTTTTTAACAATTGTTTCATTTATAGCCTTAAGTACAACTAAATAGGAGTTTCGTTTTTATGATGTTGTTATAAGAGTTAGAGTGCTTTAAGAGTGATATCACTATTTTCATCAAGATCCTTTTCTAGATATGACTAGAGAGCTTGAATGTATAAATATATACTATCTTCGATGTCCACTTTTATTTAAATAAGATAGATAATTCTATAGATTTAGTGAATTTTCTTGAGCATTGTCACTAATGCACAAGAGTTGGTTTGGAAGGTGTGTATATGTGGATGTATAAAAAAATCAAGAAAGAGTTAAAAATATGCAACTACTATGATTTCATAGTGAAGAAAAATATTCTATTGGTAAACACTACATTAATGAGTGTTGAATCTAATATAGTGGCTGATGCTTTATTTTATGTTCATCATGTAACAAAGCTACATATATAATTTTGTTATCATTTAAGTAAAGTGGTCAGTGAATTTAAACAATTGGTTGAGCATGATTAGATTTAGAATGTTAAGGTGGTCTGTTTACAAGCTTAGATAAAAGCCCCTTTCTCATTGATGGATGGAATTCTATATTACAATGGTTGTATATATTTTCCATTTGATTAATAAGGTTTTATTCCACTATCATTATAATGAATACCATTTTATTAATTTATTTTTTAAGTTTAGTTCATTATGAGAAAAGTGTAGAATTTATATTTTTTTAGAATGATAGTATTTTGTGTAAACACATGACTATATATAATTATAATACAAGTGGTTTGAACATTGTTATAACTCTGAAGCCCCATTTATGAGACTAACAATCTAAAATATCAAGAATCTATGTATTGTTAGTGCATAATAAAAACTCATTCCCTAGAGTTTAACATAATATAAATATTGATAGGAATGTTTTTACCATTCAAATTTTAATTTGTTTGATGTATAGGAAAGAATGTTAAGTACTCACACTTGGCTCTTATGCATTTTATATAAGTCTCCACCTCCATCTTTAATTTCTACTAATATTTTGCCTTTGTAGCACATATGGTTTTCACTCTTTATCCTATAGTGATTTACTATACGATAACCATGAAGTGGAACCTAAACCCTTTATGTGCCATGTGTCACATATTATATGCCATATACCATATGCCACATGTTCAAGGACAGTAGAGCAGAACACAAGTTTTAGGGCCTTATGCCATTGAATGAAAGAATGGGGCTAAACTCTCAAACTTGCAATTAAAGAGTAAATGAATTGGAATATAGAACAACTTTTGAGTGTTTAACCCAAGAAACAAAGGGACAAGAGTATAGAGCGATTTGGAACAATTCTAAAGCTTTTAGTATCCCAATGCCAGAACCAACATGCAAAATAGAGTCTAGTGTTATTTTAGCATATTAATGGTATAATGTGAAGATATACGTACTCCACCAACTAACATAGTGTGAAACTTGGGTTTAAACCTAAGCCAATGCAAAAAAATGACAGGCACATAAGTAGGAGTTAAACTATGCCTTAGGTTAGTCGGTCATGCTTGACTTACCCACTAATCTGTGAGACACAAAATCCCTAGGCCCCAAAGTGGAGCCGGAAGGGTGCCATGTGGTAGTGGCCGAAGCGAAAGCCAAACGAGCGTAACACATTTGGACTAAAAGCTCCGACTTGATAGGTCAAGAGCGGGAGTGGAACTCCCAACAAAGTGCTCGAGGAATGAGCACAAAGCGAGCAATAAACGAGGCTCTAAAAAAAGGGGCCCAAAAGGACAAACACATGACACGTGGGAGTCCGAGATGGACCGAGACGGA